TAAAGGAGAGACGAGAGCATTCGCCTCGGCATCGCAGCATCTTCTCTGCCCGCGCGTCTCTTCCACAGCCAGGTAATTAATTTGATAAATATGCATAGCAATTGCAGACTCACCTGATGCGTATGCAATGTATTTATGAAAAATTAATGCCATGTAATTGGCGAGGTGCTTCACGCCCCACGCCCCAGAAGATTCTCCCTCTTCTCTCTCATATCTTATCGCGCGGAAGACGAATTGACACTGAACTTCCTGCAGCCGCTCGTATTATGACAGATCTCACTTTAATTAAGTTGAGAACATTGGATGTCAGTATTTAAATTGGCTGGGCTTCTTTGGCCGGAAACGTTGTCAAGCTATCTATGACCTTTCCATTCGTTCACGGGCAGAAGAAGCGCGCACTGCTCTTTTATGAGTATCCGAGTCAATGAAAAGTCATGACTATCAAGTGGATTCCCGTCATCGGCTCTGCTGAGGAACATGAAAGAATTGATAGTGAAACTCTTCGCGCATTTTTCAACCATTCCGCTATATGAATTATTCATTAGTCCGGCCGCTGAGTTTTGAAGAGTGTGAGAGAGTTTGCGTAAAATCTCTCTTCCATTCTTCCTGATAACGAGAAGATACACGAAAATTGATTAAAACGACGAGAGATTGATTGAGAGATTCTGTGAGTAATTTTCAATTCGCTTTCACGGCGCGCTATGAAAGTAAATTCTTGGGCGAAGCGCAGAAAAAGTGCTCGGCAGAGTCCATTCGCCTCCGATGAAGACGTTCGGCTGACAGATGCAAAGCAAGGTTCAGTTATTAGTCAGATGCGCGCGCATCTCGCGACTAATCCACTCCACTTTCAGCTGAGCGGGACTTTCGCGGACTCTGCGCGCGAGCTTAACTGTACTCGAGGCGCGACTTGCCATTTCGATCCGCGGAAAGTAAGCAATTCGAGGGAATCCGCTGCATTGTCGCCTGCGCTTCTTGGCCGCCCGGCCGCCGAACCGCGGGAGATAATTAATTGGCGGCGACGGCGATTCTGTGCCACTGTGGCCCAACTGTACCATCGCGGCCGCTGGCAGAAGTGAGGCAATAGAGGAGCCCAGCAATTCGAGCAGTACCGTTAAGTCAATCAAGCATCTGATGCCGATCCGCAGATCCGGAGTTCAACGTGCCAAGCAGCGGCCCGGGGCTCTGGATGGCCACAGGGCTGATGCCAATGACATTTTCCTGGCCACATTAGATGAATTTCTCACTACTGTGTGGCTTTATGAGAAATACTTCAGGTACAGCTGAAGAATGATAATGTTTAAACCTTAAAATCCATTAAATCCTATTCTAGTGAGCCAATTCCTGCTTTTCATTACAAATTAAGTCATGGCCTTTCGATTTGACTCATTTTAACCCCACAATTAAGTGAAAAAAACGACTTTGAAAATCTGTACTCAGATTAATTTGCTCAGTTCATTGTTCAAGTTGTAAATATTCTGGCCGGATGGAGTACTACAAATTAAGTCATAGATCTGTGCGCACTCTAACTTTCATCTCTGAAAGCCAAGAGGACATCTTTTTTTTTGATATCTTTGGTGCAAAGTGATGATTGTATGCTCGCAAGTTTTGATGTTTCGCGGCAGATAAATCCCTTTGAAGTTGTGCAAGTTCAGAAAGGACAAAAAAGCTTTTCAGCATCTAAATAGTGCTTCTCTCTTAGACTTTAGCCGCGGAAATGTGAAGAATCTCGAGTAGACACTTCATTTTGAAATAAAAACGCTGCACAAAGTGAAGGGTTAATGAAAAGATGCATAGGTGCCGTATTATATATCTCACACACGTCCTCTCTTCCTTATTGCCCTTCATATGAATATTCATTTCAGCACAGTTCTCCCCTCAGTGGATATCTTACAGCGAGAGTCGCGATATGGAGTTGGCTGTGGAATTGCCGACTAATGGCAATTCCATTCATTCGAAATCAAATTACAAAATTACTCTATCTGGTTAAAATGCGCTGTAGAGCCTTGTTACAAGACAGTCCTTGTGCAGAGACTCGGAATACAAATCGGCCAATTATCTAGCTCTGACTACATGTCCACGAGTGTTATTCGTAATCTCTGGTCGCAAGTGTAATTGATTTTAAATTGAATGTAATTAACACACGTCACCGTTACAAATGTATATCTATCCGTGCTATGTACAAACATAGCAGAATTTGCACTCGAATTCCATTCGAGCCGCTCTCTCGCTTACAATTCTCAGCGCAATGCATACAATCCACACAGCGATTCTACATGCAACTGGATGGGATTCATTTGTAAGATGTTTCGGTTGGGAATCCTGCAATTGCGATCACTTTTCCCACTGTTCTCCGGCTACCAGTGGCAAGTCTGTAGAATTTGCTCTGAAATTATGATGTCTCTATAGAATTTTTGCATATAAACACCGGGTAATTATGTAATAGGCGAGACTTCCCCTTCTTTGTCCGGAGGTAATTAAGCACAAAATATCTTATCACCAACTAAAAAAAGTGCTCTCTAGTGGCGATACTTTATTCCTAAAAGGTGTTCCTCACATCATGTTATCCTACACTTGACGCACCGTAACATGTAATTTACATAATATTTAATAATAACCAGATTAAGGCAAAAAATGCTCATAAGGTGATTAAAATATCAGGTTTTCCGCGTTACAAGACATCCGTGGCAATGTTGCTGCGCCGTACACCTGACAAAAGTGTATCATTTCTCTCAACTGAGCAGTGAGTGACTCTTGTCCGGATTATAGGTTTATTAGAATAAAGATATGTTTAGAATTCCATCAATAATTTAGCATGACTGACCATGAAATGCCATTCTTCAGGGGCAATAACACTGCAAACACACACCATATTTGCTCGCTGTGGAGTAATTTATTCGCCGAAGGACTTTCCAGACTACAAGTCACCGAAAACATCAAAGAGTTTGTAAATTGATTTGGAAAGAGAGTGAAAAGTGGTGTGAAAACATGCATTTTAGTGACGATATTCAATTGTCGACAACAGAAACTGCACCGCTTCTCTTGTAATCCAATTCTTTCAGTGTTCTGTCAGATTTCTCGACAAAAATCCGGCGCGCATTGTTGTGCAGTCAACAAGTAAATTGTCCCATCAATGGGGTCCATTTGATGTGAATGGCGGTGGAAAAAAGTGAAATAGGATTTTCTTGTGCGATCAGAAAATCGCTTTTCTGTGTGTGATTGAACGTTAATCGATTAATTACGGGAAGAATGGGTGTCATGTGGATGTTGGGAGTTGAATGTGGAGAGGAAGAAAAGTCTGCAGGATACAAAAGAAAGAAATCCAATGACGATTATGAAAGGAAGCTGACAATTTTCCCCGTTGCGTGATCTCAAATTGCTCTTGTACATAGAAAAGACACGTTTGTCCGCATTTAGAATATTGCAATTATGCAATTATCTCATATTTTGCTCCTTTTCTCTTCGCAAATGCAAGCAACAGGTATGCACACACTTTATCTTTTAATAGGTCTCTTCTCTCGCCGCTTCACCCTTTCTTCGGCGCTCGTCACACGGCGGAGAGCGTCAATGTTTTGCTACTTTTTCTCCCATTGCACTAATTGTCGCCCGGGAAATTCGAGTCATGCTGGAGGGGAGGGAAAATTCTGGTGTAATTTCCAAGTCAGAGGCCTCAGAGCGATGACGCTGGAAAAAGTCCAACGGTGAAAATCTTAAAGCGGCGGGCAAAAGTATGTATGGAACACACATAATTCAATGTATAGAGGCATTTATGGTGCCGGAGAATATGACAACAGCTGCTGTGTGATGGAGCAAAATTCCGCACGGTGACGTGCGAATATTGGGAGCCAGGTCAGAATGTGTAAAATGATTTGTTAGCCTATTCTGGCGGGAAACCGCACTGTTAATGGATGTGTGGGAGCATTTTTCCTCTCGTCTTGCCATTCAATATATTAGACGACGTGGAATAATCGATAAAAATTCGTCAAGCCAGAGATCAAAAACACTCGGCGTGATTGATGCTTGAGGAATGTGTCAATGTGTGTGGGGAATTCAATCAAATTTGAAGTATTCCATATGACTATGTACGTGTCCTATGTATTCATTTGCCGGCGCAAAGCCCTCCATTGATTTATCGCACTGTGTAGAGCGAGAGAGGAGAGCTTTGATTGAATTTTCAATTAATTGTGAGTGGTTTAGTGTAATTAATAACATAGCATTCGCTGGTGAGCATCAGAATGCTGCAAATGCCTTTTTTGCATAAATTGCATAATTAACCATTCAGAAAGCCTTTTATTTATATTTCAATTACACAGTCAAGGCTTAATTACAAATCCATCAATCGTAATAGAAAATCTTTCTGATTTCACGATTGTGTTTCAAGTCTTTTAGTCTCGCATCTAACCAATCATCACATTTCTTGATCATTTCCAATGACATTTCCTCCTTGTGAGAATTAACAATGCCTTTTCGTACGAAACGGAAACTCTTGTCTGGAAGCTCTAAATTCAGGGTCTCTCGTCTCTTCTTCAGCTCCTCCTCGAAATTGAGGGCGGGATTTTTAGAAAACTTGCTGAATGAAAGATGATCCACTAAGGAAATCAACTGCTCCTCCGTGAAACTCTTCCCGAAGAACTTTGCAACATCCTTGATTACTTTCAAGTGGTCTGTTATCATGTCTTCGTAGGTTATGAACAAAATATTGTCTTCGTTTCTCATATTCCAAAAGTCCAGAATGTGGGTTTCGTATGGTGAAAACATAGCTGAAAGGTTTGCAAGAACATGAGTCGAGATTGCAAATTGATAAACCATTGAGAATTCTCACTCAAATCATTCAGTGATAATTCGACGAATTCGTCAAAAGAACCGGTGAAAGCCAGCGTATTCCGGTAGTGATGATAGAAAGATGTGATGACATCTTTAGCATTCCTCGCCACATACACAATTTTCGGTTTTACCGTCCAGACTTGCCGTGGCAGAAGAGGAGCTGGAAGATGACTCTTCATGTACCGTCTTCCAGTCATTTCACTCAAGTCAGACAATGAGTCTTTGAAGACTTTCTCCGTGGCAACAGTTTGATTCCTGAAATCAATATGCAGAAGCAATTTTGCAGCGCACAACTCGCCAAAGTCACACATACTCAAAGTATGGAAATCTCTTCGACAACAATCCCGCTTTTTCAGCATCAAAGTCCAAATCGTTGCATATTTGCCACACCATTTCTTCCGACCACGTCGAGCCGCACTTTGCAAACGAAATGACCCAGACATCGTCTTCCCGAACTGTAAAATGCTGTATTTTTTCCGCAATCTTCTCGTAGCGGTCAGGGAAAAAATATGCTCTGTCGTGCCATTTCGATGCAATCTCTAAATCAGGAAATTCCGTATTTCGGACGCGAATAAAATGTTCCACATCGAGAAATTTGGCTTTCTCAGACAGCACGTTCTTCTCAACGTTCTCAAACACAATCGGCATCTTCACTTTGCAAGAGTTCAGGCTAAACTGTGTAAAATTTCATCTTTTCATTGATAACAGCAATATAATGATGTATTTATAAACACTTGTTGTGCGATAAAAGCTCTTTTTTGGCTTCTTTTTGAAGTGTTTTTGTCTATTGAATGTTCAATTCTCTCACTGATAAAATAAATATTTTTCAGTAGCTTTATCGCAATAAATGTTCCGAAAATATCCCAAAATATCATGTCTTATTTGAGTCAAAGCCAAATCACTGAAAAGGCCATTGCGATTAAGAATCACAGCAGAATAATGGGTATTTCTTGTTTGTGGGGCTGAAGAATCAATTTTCGGCACACAGTCGATGCTTTTCTCATTTACTAGACACTTCACTGCCTGCCTTATGAGGCTGCAAATGGTGGAATATCTTCCGAAATTGAGATATCCTATCTTCTCCGTACTGCTCACGTATTTCCCCAAAAAGAGAGCGACTAATTTGTTCCAGTTAATGACACACTTCACATTCACTGCCATGACGTCATATCACGGAGACGAGCGTGGGAATCAGAGAAAAATGAGCAAACAAATTTATACGTTTGCATGCTCTGTGGCTGTTTGAAATCTCACCACTCCTGCCAAACTTCTTCCGCAGTCGACAAACCACCCCTTGCTCGTCGACGCGCTCTGATAACGAGACTATCTGCCTGCTGCATCCAAACGGGTGTGTAACAATTTGGCCCTCCGTGACTGAAATATCTGACGAGTCGGGAGATTCTTTGATGGGGACGATGATGGGATGTTCTCGTAAAAGTGAGTTATGCACTCTTCAACTCGATCTCTTTATATGCCTTCCACCGACCTTCGTTTCTTTATCAAAATGGAAATTTATCCATCTCCCCGCATCGCTCTCATTTGTATAACATCCATGCGAGAGGGCAAAACACTGAGCTGAGCATTCTCGCGAGAAAATTGAGTTTTCATGAATAAGATTTTGCAGCCCCCTCAATAGAAGGCTTGCTTTCTGGGGTGGAGGGAGAAAACTATACGTGTTGCGAAAGGGAACAGTTTCAACATTGATTTTTTCTCTCTCTGTGAAATTTGTCAACACATGTTGAATATTCTCTAAATTAAAATTGCGCAAATTGCAATCAATCCGGTAACTCGTGGCTGTAATTTCTTCAAAACTGGTTGCTCGAGAGTGAAATTAAGAGAACAGCGCGACTTTATGAAGTTGTCATCGGAAAATCAGAAATTTTATGAGAATAGCCTTCAGTTGGAGTCACAAATAAATTGCAATTATACCATTGGATGGCAGTAAATGCAAATTAACAGAAGTGGATGATATTAAGGCGACTGGAAGTCAATTTGTCTCCGCAGTCTCTCCGTGGCTGTCGTGCATTTATTTCACGAAAATTTGTGGCACATGAAGAAGTCGGATATATTTATCTTAATTAATAAAATTGACTGTCTTGTCACCATTCAGCAATTCCACAAAGTATGTGCGCAGAGCGTCTGGCGGGATAAGAAATCCCCAGCGTGAATAAATATTTCACATGTCAGCCATTTACTTGTTTTATTGAATCACAAACAGATCGTTCGTCATTAATTATTTATTAATCGAGATATATTTATAGAAGAAGGTGAATTTATAGGCTATTCACATACACAAATGGCTATCACATTGGCTATGATATATAGAGTGTAAAAAATATATCATACAATATTTTCTGCTCTCAATATCACTCGGCGTTCATTAGCGGACCGTCCAGAGACTCTGGCTCCGCAGGATGGCTTTCGGATTGGAGTCCGGTTTGGCTGTGCGTCCGTTTTAGTATGTCCATTGCACTGAAAGTGAACTTCTTGGCATTCCTCATCTCTCCCGGCGTGCAGAGTGTCACTATTGGAGTCTTCTGGCTAAGCGGCCGGCTGTCCGGCGAGCTGACGAAGGTATTACTTGAAAAACGAGAAATTCCTGCGAATAAATCTCCGCCGCGAATCAACATTTCATTCACGACATATTTTTGCAGATAAAATACTCATATTCTCTCTCTTCGGCGCTCTGGCGTGCATTCTATGACCATCACTTTCTTGTCATATTACAAATAGTTCTTTACACATTTCAGAGACGCGGTCGTTTGAATTGATTTCAGGCTGCGCTGAATCGCAATCATCTTAGGCTTCACATTCAAAATCATGCCCAAGATCGCATTTCTTTGCTGATCTCTGGAAGATTGATTGCGTAACTGGAGAGGAGCGAAATGTATGACTTTCGACCTTAGAATTCCCTTAGAAGACAGTCGTTTTCGATAGAATATGTCAAGAGAATATTACGTCTCGCATCTTGACATGAATAAGAGAGACAAACTCACGTTATTCTCAGTACAACTCGTCATGTGAAATCTATTTCTGCAGTCACCGCAGAATTAAATCCTAAATGACGTCAGAATGACTGAATAACTAAGTGCACTTGAGCTTACAATCACGTGAGAAAAGCGTGAGTATTTACCTCTTGGAGCTGTTTTCGCCAAAGCCATAAAACTGTCGCTGTTCCAGAAACATTCCTGCTATCATAACACATTCAGACATCAAAGATTCGATTCTCAGTTTATTCAAATGCCCAAATGTCACACACAACACCTAGGCGAAATATGCCTAATCTAGATTTGGGCTCCTCTTGAAAGCGCTCAGCAAAGTGGGCACATAAAATAAATTATTATTTGCCGAATCATTCATAAATAACAGATAATAGCGTTTGACTTTATCACAGAAAACCAGTTAATTCCATAAACAAATAGACTGATGATATTGAGGTATTAGGTAACATCATCGCGAAAATAAGCTTGTTTAAATTGAAGAACACTTCGCATCGCATCAGTTGACATTCCGTCGTTGAGTGTGCAAGACTGCGTGCAGTTCTAAAGTGTTCTGTATTGTTCTGTTGGTTGTTTTGATTTGACGACACGTCTCCGCATTGTGAGAATGGTTGGAAAGGATTTCAGCGAGCAAGAAGGATTCCGCACGGCGGCAATCCACACCGGGCACACTCCGAAATCCCTCGGAGATCCTGTAATTCCGCCTATCGTGAACTCGACAATCTATAGATATGACGCTATCCACAATGATAAGGTATATTTCACAATATGACTTTGATCATGACTTTGACCTTCTCGAGATCAGCTGAATTATTGCTCTGTTATTCTAAGGATTTCGAGTACACGCGTGTGGGAAATCCTACGAGGACTGCATTGGAACAGTGCTTGGCCACTCTGGACGATGGCAAGTACGCTCTGACCTTTTCGTCAGGCCAAGGCGCCACGACGTCTATCACGCACCTGATGAGCCCGCACGATCACATCCTCGTGTCTCGGGACTTGTACACCGGCACGGAAGGACTGATGTCCTCGCTGGGCGCTCAGAAGCGCGTCGACGTTGAGTTCTTCAACGCTGTTGATCTCGAGGAGCTGAAGCGTCTCCTGAAGCCCAGCACAAGAATGGTGTGGCTGGAAAGCCCCACGAATCCTCACCTGGTCGTTGTTGACATCAGAGCTATTTCAGACATCGCTCATAATTACAACAAGAATGTGAGTATTTAGAGGCGGCAATAGATCTATTGATAAGTCACTCGTGATTGCTCTATCGCCGCAGATAATCGTTGTTGTGGACAATTCTTTCTTGTCTTCGTACTTTCAACGACCGCTCAATTTCGGCGCTGACATCTCAATGTACTCTCTGACGAAATTCATGAATGGCCACTCGGATGTCCTCATGGGCGCAGCAGTGACAAACTGCCAGGACATTTATGAGCGCCTGAAGCGCGTACAAGTCGGCCTGGGAATAGTGCCGAGTCCCTTCGATTGCTTCCTGATGCACCGCAGCCTTAAGACGCTGGGCGTGCGGATGGAGAAACACCACGAGAACTCCCTGGCTGTGGCGAAGTTCCTGCAGAAGCACCCAAAGATTGAGAAAGTCCTCCATCCGGCACTGCCCGACAATCCGCGCTACAGCCTGACATTGAGGCAAACGTACGGCCACAGCGGAATAATGGCCTTCTACTTGAGAGGTGGTATTGACGAAGTCAAGAAATTTGCAAGCAAATTGAAATATATTACAATCGCCAAATCGCTCGGAGGCGTCGAGTCCACCATTGTCTTCCCGTAAGTTCTATGTGCGCACACAGTACATAAGCTCAATGGGTAGCTCCAAATGCACTTTCCTTTGGGGATTTTATCTTGTGCTCACCACAAACTTTTCATCATCTCCACAGGCACATTATGATGTACGAGCGATTCAGCGAGGAGGAGAAGATCAATATGGGCATCTCGGTGAATTTTGCCCGCATGTCCATCGGCATTGAAGATCACAACGTTCTAATCAACGATCTAGATCAGGCCCTCAATTCACTTCCTGCAAGCCCTGTCAGCAAGTTGTAAAAGCGTCAAGTTCTCTACCACATCAAATGTGCCTTTATTCCCCAAAAAGAAAGAATATTGTTGAGCTTGCAGTGCAGCAACAATAAAATAAAGACGAATGTTCGCAATTACATAAAGACTGTGTACATAATTGTAGCATAAGAAAACGATGCCTTGCTAATCTGAAAGGATAAATTTCTCTCACTTCAAGTTCTGCATCTACTAAAGAGACTCACCTCGACAAAAGTGAAGATTGAAATGCTTCCAAATCCAAAGGTTTCAATCTTGATCGGCATTCGAAATCCATGCATAAGTAAGGCAATAATTTTCTGTTGCTTAACGCTTCGTTCGTACCATTTAGTCGTGTACAAAGTATGCTCCAAAGTCTCAGAATTGTTCTGAAGTATTTGACCAAAATAACAGAGGATGAACAGTTTTGAGGCCATCATTAGACACCCCAACAAAGGCACAAATTTTGACGTATTCCCAAAATAGACAATAGTTATAAGTGAACAAGAATACACGACGAGGACGGAAAGCTTCATGAAATACACGTGCCACAGTGACAAAGTCAAAATTCGGGCTTTTGCGTAGAAATTTCGGTGAATTTCATAGAGCTTTCCCAAAGTAAAAGAGTTCTCTTCATCGTCCAGATGACAAATTAGTGCTAGAATGCTTCGCATTTCTGCGTTGCAGTATGAAATGGCGATTAGAATGATTGCACTGCAGCCCATGGACATGTTGAATTGAGTAAAGTGCATCATATACTGAATAATAAGATTGCAAAGATAGGATAAGACGCGATTCTGAGAAATTCCCGGAATATAGAAAAACATTGGAAGATTGTTTTCCGATGCATAGATGTCAAATAATGTGATGAGAAATCCACCTATGTTGATACCGATCAAGAAAATCCTGGAAAATCAATTTGATGAAATTTTAATAGATTTGATTAATCAATATTAACTCACTTTGCAAGCAAGAAGGCCATTTTCACGTTCAGTGAGTAAAACTTCATCCTCATGGCGTAAATGATGTCCTTCGATTCTGAATTCGCAACCGTATTGAAAAGCAGCAAAATTTGTTCAATATTTCCCGTGTTGAAAACGTGAAGTGCAAAATGCAAGGCGATACATTCAATACAACCAAAAATGAAGATAGGCGTGAAGTTTAAATCGAAAATATTTGACATGTTCTTCATTTGCGCGAAAAAATGGCAAAGCAAGTAGAATAGACAAAATCCCATTAGAATTGGGAAAGCCATTAACTTGATCACATTTAGTCCTTTCCTGTTCGGCAGTAAGTCCAAACGATAGCCGCTGAAGAAGAGACGGTAAATCACTTTTACTCCATTATGATATTCAGCTAACTTGTCCATGATTTAGAAAAGACTGCTGGAAAGTGTCTCTAGAGTGACTGTTTCTTGTTGTGTTTATAAATACTTGTCGCGCTTGTCGCTTATAAAGAATTTATACAAAAATTAAATATTTATGCTTCTTTAAGTATTGAATAAAGTATTATTTTGTGGTGATGAAGCTCGGTCAGCAAGTTGTAAAAGCGTCAAGTTCTCTATCACATCAAATGTGCCTTTATTGCCCAAAAAGAAAGAATATCGTTGAGCTTGCAGTGCAGCAACAATAAAGACGAATGTTCGCAATTACATAAAGACTGTGTATATTATTGTAGCATAAGAAAACGATGCCTTGCTAATCTGAAAGGATAAATTTCTGTCACTTCAAGCTCTGCATCTATTAAAGAGACTCACCTCGACAAAAGTGAAGATTGAAATGCTTCCAAATCCAAAGGTTTCAATCTTGATCGGCATTCGAAATCCATGCATAAGTAAGGCAATAATTTTCTGTTGCTTAACGCTTCGTTCGTACCATTTAGTCGTGTACAAAGTATGCTCCAAAGTCTCAGAATTGTTCTGAAGTATTTGACCAAAATAACAGAGGATGAACAGTTTTGAGGCCATCATTAGACACCCCAACAAAGGCACATGAATCGCCGCATTTCCAGAATAGATAATAGTTAGAATTATACAAGAATACACGACGAGGACGGAGAGCTTCAAGAAATACACGTGGTACAATGAATGGGTCAAAATTCGGGCTTTTGCGTAGAAATTTCGGTGAATTTCATAGAGCTTTCTCAAATTGAAAGAGTTCTCTTCATCGTCCAGATGACAAATTAGTGCTTGAATGCTTCGCATTTCTGCGTTACAGTATGTAATCGCGATTAGAATGATTGCACTGCAGCCCATGGACATGTTGAATTGAGTAAAGTGCATCACATACTGAATAATAAGATTGCAAAGATAGGATAAGACGCGGTTCTGAGAAATTCCCGGAATATAGAAGAACATTGGCATACTGTTCTCCGATACATAGATGTCAAATACTGTGATTAGAAATCCACCTATGTTGATACCGATCAAGAAAATCCTGGAAAATCAATTTGATGAAATTTTAATAAATTTGATTAATCAAAATTAACTCACTTTGCAAGCAAGAACGCCATTTTCACGTTCACTGAGTAGAACTTCATCCTCATGTCGTAAATGATGTCCTTCGATTCTGAATTCGCAACAGCGTCGAAAAGCTGCAAAATTTGTTCAATATTTCCCGTGTTGAAAACATGAAGAGCAAAATGCAAGGCGATGCATTCAATGCAACCAAAAATAAAGATAGGTGTGAAAGCAAAATCGAAAATAGTTGACATGTTCTTCATTTGAGCGAAAAAATGGCAAAGCAAGTAGAATAGACAAAATCCCATTAGAATTGGGAAAGCCATTAATTTGAGCACATTTAGTCCTTTCCAGTTCGGCAGTAAGTCCAAACGATAGCCGCTGAAGAAGAGACGGTAAATCACTTTTACTCCATTATGATATTCAGCTAACTTGTCCATGACTTCTAAAAGACTGGCGGAAAGTGTCTGGAGTGGCGGTTGCTTGTTGTGTTTATAAATACTTGTCGCTTATGCAGAATTTATACAAAAATTAAATATTTATGCTTCTTTAAGTATTGAATAGAGTGATAATTTGAGGTGAATTTGAGAATTTCTTGCACGCTGATGACGAAATGCACTTTTAATTATTCACAAACTCCGATAAATTGTCTTTAAGATTGTCGAATTGCTGTTCTCTTTCAGTAATGGCTCAATTAGTTTATATTTTATTAAACCAGCAGCGACAATTTAACACGTGTGCAGTTAAGTAATTAACTTTCTTATTGATTTTCATTGTGTTACTCCACATAATGCATGCATTTTATAGTATTCTATGCAACTATACAAGGACACAGTTTACTAAATCATTCAAAGAATCATGATAAATGTCGATCTACTGGACTATTCGCTTTTTTATGGTAGATTTTTAGAATTTCCCATTAAATTTGAGTCATTTCGAAGATTTTAAACAATAGTAAGATTGCAATTTTGATCAGATTGCATTCGGAAGTCTCAAGATTTCATTCTTCTTGAGCAAAATTTCAACTGTCTGCGAATGATGGCAAAGAAATGTGGCTGCGAAGAGAGAACTCGGAGGCTTTGTCACAGATGTAATTTATGCAAAGCAAAGATGATTGATCAGATTAGAATTCAGTGGTAGAATCGATAGAATTGAGTTGAAATATTGGCAAGCAGAAGTGGCTGAATTCAGTGGCAAAATGGGGCGAATTGCGCTCATCTGCAAAGCTCGCCATGCAAAAGTACATAAGGAAAACGATTACGTGAGCCATAAATAATGGCCTTTCGTCTCACTTCTGAGATGGCAAATTAAAAAGGTTTGCAGTCAATGGACAGGATCTAGGTTGATCGAGATAACACTCAGTCCAGATGCCTTTTCATCTCAAATGACGAATGGTCTCTCGGCGTTATCAAATCGAAATCTGCACTCTTTCAGCCGTTCAGGTGACCACACAATTGCTCTTTCAACTGTGACATTGATTTGTATGGCGCGCTCTTGCCTCGTTCGCAAGCCACGCGATTTCAGGCAAAATCTATGAATTCTGATTCTGTATCAATTTCCAGACAGTTCGTTAATTAAGCAAATAGGGAGAGACTTTTTCCCACTGCCATTAATGCTCTCTTTGATCCAATTTAAAAACGTGATTTAACAATAAATGCCCTGAAATCACGTTTACCCATTTCTCTTTCTCGGCGCGTCATAAAGCCGAACAGTATCTTGATTCATGGTTGATTGTCTAACACGATATGAAGGGAAAAAAAATTCACACTGAACAGCTCTAATTAACAATCGACTTTTCAGTGCAGCCATTGAAGGTATTCTGCTGAACTTCTGGAAAAGAAAATTTTCACCTCTGTACTTGTTCGTAACATGAGTACACATTTATGTACGTACATATGTAAATGTTTCTTCTATTATTTAATTTCTTCAGGCGTTGCGCGTCTCACAAATGTGAAAACACACAATTGAATATCTAGACTTACAGATTGAATTGTGCAAAAAATGGCGAACCTTTTATAACATCCAACACCTGCCGAGATAATGCATCCAAACAATATCTATGCCATAAAGCGGCATGAGAAGGTGGAAATGGAGAGAAAGAGAGAGAGTATTATGGCCACATATCCAAGTCACTCTTTGTAATAATAAGGTTCATTTTGGGCCTATTTTACGCGATGATTATCTTCTCCTTCACTTTCAATTCATTTCCATCCAATTCAAGCGTATCAAGACCGCATCATTTCTCCACACACAATTGTAAATAAGCTTTTGATTGAGATGTTGAGCTTCTCATCTATCTGTGCTCTCTATAACATAAAATGCCACAGATTTAATCGCATTGTTTATTATAAACCCAAAGATAAAACGTTCGAATACAAAATAGGAGAAAATTCACCTTAGATTTCTGAGCAAAAACTGACTATTTTGACTTATATTGATCGAATTCACGAAGATTCAGCATCGAAATTGGACAACTTGAGATGTTGCATGATGTTTCGAGCTGAAAATGGAGGAAAATCATTAAAATTTGTCCACAAATCAAGTGAAAATTCGTAGTTTTACCTTCGAAATAACCCGTATCGAATGGATTGTCTGGCTTTGGCACAAACGGAGCCTCTGCAGATTGAATGTCACACCACTTGATGTCCTGGAAGAAGACCATGAGCTGCACCTGACCCGCCGACGGTCTCTCTTTAGGCTCCATCGTGAGGAGCGCCTCGACGGCCTGCACAGATTCTGGCGACAGCGCCTCCTCGTCTTCCGGCCACTCGATGTTGCGCGTGAGGATGTTCTGGAACACTTTCTGCGGCGTCTCGTCGTTGAACGGCGGAATGCCAGTGAGGAACTCATAGAGACACACGCCCAGCGCCCACCAATCCACCGCCGGTCCGTGGCCCTGCGACAGCAGCAGTTCCGGCGCCAGATAGTCCGGCGTGCCCAGGATCCGCTCGTCTGTCATGCCGACGCCTCTGCGCACGGACTTCGGCGTCCTATACGGTGTCTGCACAGTCTTGGGCGTCTTCTGCACAACTTCGCGTGATATTGGCGACATTGCGGGCTCGTCGTGCATCTTGAGAACCCTCATCGGCAATCTGTCGCTCATGGAAGTGCTCTTCTTGTGCATTTCCCCCGAAGCAGGCAGCATAAATCTCGTGCTCTTGATCTTGTGCAGCAATCCACCGTCGCGACGAGGCATTTTCTGCGAAGACACCGGCGTGGACACGAGAACGTTGCCCAGATTTGCGTTTATTGGCAACTCATCGTCAGAAAGAGATCTGAAATGTGTTTATTTCAGTGGGAAATTCGGAGAAATAATCAAATGAGATTAAACACTCGAGAAAAAGGTCAAACTATTTTACCCAAGACACATCTCTTAACTTAAGAGGTACTCACATTGGATTCAGGACACTCTTTGCAGGCGATTTCTCCTTCTTTTTCTTCGGCGTGCTGCTGCCCAAATCAATCGTGTCGATTTCCTGTGTGAGTCCCGTGCTTGATTGTCCCTCATTTGGTATAAAATCCACATTTCGTTTTCTCTTGAAGCTCCTGAAAAAGCAGAATTATCACGTAAACTTCTAAGGAAAATACAACGAATCGTGAATTTACCTTCTGAAATTTGGATGCTTGAAGTCTCTTGAGATATTCGAGACTGGCGAATCGACGTCGCTGCCGACATAACTTCTGGAATAGTCGGATGTCACGTCTTCCTTCACCTTTGGTCGATTCTCCTCATTGGCAACGCCCGAGAAATCGCTTTTCCGACTGGATATGCCCGAATCCTCGCAGTCTTTCAGGCGCGACACGTTCAGTGAATTCTTGTACTTCTTATCGTACACGCTGCTCAGCATGTTGTGCAGTTCTTTCTTGCAATCTCTGGACGCCGACGCGCCCCTGAGGGCTCTTCGCTTGAGCCGCAGCGATAGGCTACTCTCCTTCCGGTTGCCACTGCCGATGCTGGAGTTGCAAGTGTAGTAGGAAGAATGGGAGTCGGCGTTGATGCTGTTCACGGCGCTCACGACGATGTTGGGATCGATGTTCTCGGTGGAGAAGAACGGCGACACGCCGGACATGCGACTGTCGTTGGCCTCGTTGTTGGACGAGATGGAAGTGTCCAGAATCGTGTCTCCACTCTGGTGGTTGTTGATGATGTCCATGAATGTGGACACCGGCAGAGTCTCCTTCTCCGCGAGCTCAGCCTTCTTCTCCACGGATCCAAAGGAGAGGTGCGTTGTGAGTGACAGCAGCTGTCCGGGTGTGCGTGCATTGAGATTCGGCGAGCAGTTTATCAAGTCTGACATCTCCAAATCCCTGCACAGTTCGATCTTGCTCAGGCCGAAGTCCGTGAGCTTCAAGTGTCCGGAAGCGGCGATCAGCATGTTGTCTGGCTTTATGTCGCGATGAACGATACCGTGGCTGTGCAGATACTGCAGGGCAAGAGCCACTTCCGCGGCGTAGAATCGGGCGGTGGTCTCGTCGAAGAAGCCGTACATGGCCAGGAGAGACTTGAGATCGCCGCCGACCATGTATTCCATCACCAAGTAGACGAACGACGTCGTCTGCAGCGAGTAGAAGAGATTCACGCAGAAAGGACTGCGGGACAGCGCCAGGGCGTTCCTCTCCGTGATCACCTGCGACACCATGTTCTTGTTGATCATCTCGGACTTCCGCATCACCTTCACGGCATACAATCGCTCCTTGTTGTCCTTCTTGTAGCCCAGGAACACCTTCCCGAAAGCCCCGCGGCTGATGGGCTTGATTATGCAGAAGTCCTTTATCGTGGGCGCCTTGGGGCTCTCAGGCCTCGTGGTGAACTTGCTGATTGACCGGAAAACTGTGTCCGAGTCCTGGAAGACGTCCTTCTTCGGCGTGCAATGATCCATCGCGCGTGGCGACACAAAACAGCAATGCTGAGGGTATTTACACAAAATCCACTATCAATTCATGATCTCTGCATCATATTCACATCGTACTTACAGAAATTTCGATGGGAAATTGAGAAAATTCGTTACTTTTAGACGGAAAACACTTTTCTGGCCGGTTATCAAACTTCGATTTGACACTCTAAATAATTGTGAAGTTTGCAGCAAATGACTTTGAAATTTGTCCGTTACCGAGCGTTTGCATTTGCATGCAAGTAATTTTGAAAGACGAGTTCCACAAATTGAAGGCGATAACGAAAAGGAAAGCCAGAGGATTCTATCAAGAAAATTTATTTCTATAATATTCTCATCTACTTTCATCATTAGTAGAGTCAATCAAAAATGTATTTCAAGCGCAGCATTATCGGAAATTTGCATAAAATGTGCAGCATTTATTAGCTTCTAAGGAAAGCTTACAATTCTATAAAAACACAATTTGAGTGATTATTTGGTAGATTTTATGGAGTAATTTTGAAAAATAAGAGTTTATTGACTTTGTTTTAGGGGCAAAAAGAAGCTTAGAGTGTGTTTTCTGTTGGTCTTTTCATAATTATTACAATTTCTTATTAAACTTTTATTTAATAAATATTCATAAGTTTTTTCTCCTTACAAAAGTACATACAGAGCTACACTATGATTTTTTCTCTTCTCTATTTTCACCCTCTGACGAAAAGAAGCATATTACAATTTATAATTAAGGGTGATTCTTGCGTGTGCAAACAACATTGCAATTAATTTATTGAAAGGAATTACAGAGAAGAAGAATTTCTTCGTTTTTTACTAAATTCTATACTTCATTTTCATGAGAGAAAGTGATTACTGAAATAATTTGTATTTTCATAATAACACGGTTGAACTTTAGAAAATAAATTCCTCTTTGATTCCTTCGACTTCTCGCCAGTCATTAAATAATTTCTCCTTGTAAAGTCACAACAAGATGAACATCAATGCAAAGTTCCCTCTTTCTAAACACCTTTCAGCACGAAAGCCCCACAAAAGTGCAATCAAAATATCACCCACTAATTATTAACGTGAATTACACAGGAAGGAAAAAATTTTACAATGAAACTTATACTATTTTCTACATGTTTTTTCTTTTCTCTTTGTCACTCCTTTTCCCTCAAAGGTTAAGGCAATTGTGGTGCAATTAATCTACGCACTAGTTTGTATAATATTCATTCTTTGTATTGCTTGATACTCTGTGCGGATATGTATATATTTGTGGTTATTTGTTGCCGATGTGGTTGGTTATCTTATTACTGAAGAGGCTTTCTGGCCATGAGAGATCCAATTACTAATGATATCAGTGGCACGATGACTCCTGCAAAGATGGTGATGGCTCCTGGAACAGTAACAATTAGGGAAATATATTAGCATGTTGATTTTTTGGGGCTTCTGCGAAAACATTCTGCCATTGGAACACTTTTTGACATTCTTTAGAAAGGATATTTGCGTCGATTTTCGCAGGATTAATATAGGAAAACAGGAAATTTTTGTAGATGCGATACGAAAGAATATTGGAGGGTCAGAAAAAGAGAAATCTTATTGTAAAATTTTTAATTGCTTTGGGGAGGATATGAATTGGCTGAGGACCAAATGAATGGATTTTTCAAGGGATTTAACAATTTCGTGTGCCTTGGCAATTCCATGTTTAGACAGTTTCACAAAGAAAATCAAGTAAATTCACAGCTTTAGTTCCGGAACAGACAGATAATGGGTGGATGGAGAACAGACGGAAGATCCTGCGGCAAATTGAGCATTGTCTTGATGGTTTTAATGTCCTAATTGTTGCCGTCGGCGGTGAATCTTCGCCCTTAGCAACTGAATGGCCTGGAAAGGTGCCATGGATTGGGTAAGCGTCTCTAAAATAAGTATTTAATCACGAATTCTTACATTTAAAGGGAACATTTTCCATCTTTAATGTTGATTTAACTTTTCGTAGAGAATTAAGGATGTTTGGATTAAAAATGTGTACAAAAAGTGTTCCTTCATTGTATAAATCAGTTGACAATGGCACTTTGAGGACGGCAATTAGGATTGTCCGCACAGTGTCACAGAATAGGATCAAAATGTATGTAAATACTTTACCGCTGCAATTATTATTCCGCGGGCTCTCTGAGTAGCCGGCGTCTTCGTCGCATAGGCACACTTTTTGCTGGTCACCGGCGCTGGTGGGCACTTTGGAGCCCAAAGCTGTGGTTTTGGTGGAGTTCTCCACGGCGCAGAGCATGCCTTCGTCGCACTGGTTGGTGTCTGCACACATGTGCCTCAGGCCTGGACAAAGAGAGGAAAGGCAGGGCGTTGAGCAAGGAAAACAGTAGTTGTGCATTTTTTAATTGCTCGCGCCAACGGTGGAAAAGTGAGAAAGAAAGAGAGGAAATTGAATTTACATGGCGTCGTTGCATTTAATTTGCATGTAATTATGTCCTAAGCACACCAGTCCGCGGACGCTGGCCAGAGAAAGGGTCTCGCGAGTAATTATATCAACGATGAAATATACAAGGATGGCTTGTGCGGTTGGAGAAGTGGAGGAAAAGGCGATATATGGCCCCAATTCCACTTAAAGGTGAAACTCCTTCCTCACGCGAGAAACCTTTCTCCCATTAGCGAATAGATTTCGATTACGAAATAGCACAAAGTGGGTTACTGGACGTAATGATATAATTCACATTTGCCAACCCTTTTCGCGGGCGAGGAGGAATTCCACGTCCAATATCAGGGTTGGGCTCGTGTGCAGTTCTCTTCCTCTTCTGCACGGCCAGCATTGGGTGCGAATGCAGTGATTTGTGGGTTAAGGACAAAGTCAATGACAGAGCACCAGAGACATGGAAATGCATGTGAAAGTATAGTAAATCATGGGGCGAAGAGAGAGGTATCGGTGGTATTTAGATGTTTGGTTTCCCACATGTTCAACAACATCCTTCCACCTTTGCATGGGGCTGTGTGGATTACAAATTAAGAAATTTTACATTTATAAATTATGTATTCAATTTCGGGCGTTTTGTTCTGACCATGATTTACAAGAAAACTCGCCATTCATTTGCATGCCACGCCGAAGAGCACATGAGAGTGCCTTCCACATATTGAAAACCATCCCCATCGCGAGCTCCCTTGATTGATGGGCGCCGATTGCGATCGCCCACGTGGATTTTTAAGTGGTGCAGCACGAGAATGCTTGAATGATAAATGCTCACCTTTGAATTTAGCTTGGCAGAAGCCGTTGACGGGCGCGGTGTAGTCGCCGCAGAGGCATCTGAAGCGATCGTCGTAGTAATCCTTAACGCAACTCGTGTTCGTCAGGACGGAACAGTCTGGGTGAGTTTTGCATTCTTTCGCTCTCACTGTTGGGGAGAAAGACGGAAATCTTTACACTCATGCTGATCTTTGTAATTTCATGACAGGATTTTGAACATTTTAACTACTCTAAAAGGTTATTTTCAAGGGTTTTTCTTCCGATTCACAAAACATTTCTTAGAATTACAAGAATTGTTCACTGAAAGCAAAGAAGGAAATTTGGAAGAAAGATACGAAAACAAAATGTGAACCCTTTTTTAAATTTAAGCAATTAACTTTTTTGTGCAAAACTTTTCGTCTGTGGTCAACATTTCTATAAAAAGATCCTTAAAATTATGTTTACAAATTACTTATGGCATAGTAAAGAAATTATTGTTTTTCCTAATTATTTCCTTCCAACAAAAGACTATAATGAGAAACATGCCGTTTCAAATATTGGATTTTTATGTCTCTAGGCATAAAACAATCCTAATTAGAGTGAAAGTATTTTCAAGCCGAATTTTTTTTTTATATGTTTCTGCATACTGTCGAATACAAGAAAGTTTCTCGTGCAAATCATATCGATTTGCATTTCTGAGACAGAAAGGTGCAAATAAAATCAAATAACGTCTCTCGAAGAGCATTTTCTTTTGCATTATGAGCAGAGCAAGACAATAATTTATTGCTAAACATATTCCAAATTGGCACGGCGTTCGTTTCAATGGCAACGCCAAAGCAAAGAACTTGGATTCTTTCTTCTTTTTTTTCGCTAATAAAGTGTTCAATAATAATGTCGACCACCCTGCGAAGTGCTTCACCCTTCGCGCCCTCTTCTCGTGGCGGTTCAACAGTATGAATTCATATCGAGATTAAGTGATTACAGCCCTTTCTGGAATATAATTTCACTCCGAAATTAATAATCGCGATTCGCAAGCGAAACATTACGTAAGAATGAGCGGTTATTATTTTTAACTTGCCACCGCAAATGTAAGTGCTCGGATTTCTGTTATCTTGGAAGATGTAATGATTGTATATTTTACCATAAATTGAGGATCTAAATATAGGCATATGAAATTGCGCTGGCAGCGAAGGAAAGTTGTGGCTTTGAGACGCAAGGCTGAATAATGTGTGTAATATGATTTGGACCCTTTTATAGTGTACTTCAAGGATTTCTTCATAAAATATCATACCTGGTGGCGGCGTTGGTGGTTGTGGAATATTCTGGTTTTGATTTGGTTTACCGAATGTCGTTAATGCTGTGGAACTCACGCCTGAAACATGCAATATGAGAGGTAAAGAAAACCACTCACAATTCATTTCATGAAGGGATTTTGAGTGAATTTACCAAACAGAACAATAAAAACGGCGAAAATCATCGTCAAACTGCCACATTGTGTGAATCTCTTCAACGGCTTATGCATTTTGAGATTGTCTCTTCAATTCCACACCGCAAATTTACTAGCAAACAGTTCTTATCTCTCTTCACAAACTTCCCGAATCACTTGAAATTCACACGCTTTACAGTTGTTGATATGTCACATTCGCACGAAGTTGCTGGTCATGAAGGAAATCCTGAAGTTTCTCTCTAATGTAGCGAATTACAAATCTTAACGGTCTCATCAAATTCCACCACCGACTTCTTTGACAATACTAAGTCGTATATTTCTTCACAATTTGTCTCTGAATAACTCAACACAGAATTTATTGTGGGCAAGAAACTTGCAGAGGCTATTGATTGTGTGCGAAGAGCAGTTTATAGTCCAACTCTTCTGAATGATTTCACGAAGAAAAGTGAAGGTAATCGCAATTTTCCTCAAGTGAAATTTTCCTTACAAAGAAATTTCAGTTGCGCATGCGAATTCGCCAGAAAATTTAACATAAAAAAGCACTAAACTTATACACCCCTTCTTTTGCTATGGTGGATTGTAAATAAAACGCAAAATATAAGTGAAATTATATACAATAATACTATACGCAAAGAAGTCTGGAAGGAAAATCTCATACACACACACAAGCTTGTGTGGATTCATCAAGAAGAATAAAAAGCATTGGATTAAATATATGCACACCACACTTCACACATAATGTACTCTCATATATTGTAAGCTGAGGTAAAAGTTATCCGGAATCATGTTCTCGACGACGAAATTCAAGAATTGCGTGTCGAGAGAATTTCTTCTTCGGAATCACAAAGGTTTGGGTAATGCTTGAAAGCGCTAAATGATATTTTTTCACATCAATATGTACATACATAGCGCGTCTACACATTTTCCAACTGGGCATTTTCTCATATTTGACTTTTTCAGGGAATCACAAACACAATGAAAATAATTGATTTGCTTTCACATGCACAGAAGCTAATATGCTAAACTTCAGCTCTACACTGAGATTTGTGTGTAATTTTATGAGAAGTGCTAAAATGATATTTGCCATCACGCTACGCTTCTGATTACGTCAATTTGTGCTCATCACTCTGGCATATAAGAACCGTGACGTTTCTACACAATATCATTATAGTGCCATATTTTCATTTTCAAATTGACTGTAAATAGGAAAATTGCGCGTAGTTTGCATACTCATTGAGAAAATCTAACGTCGCTTTCCACTGAAATCGGCAGGTGAAGGAAGAAAAACCGCACCCAGAATATAAGAATGCTCGAGTAGAAATTTTTCTTATCAAAAACATTAGCATTTAACAGTAATTAATTTCTATAAAATTTCTCCGATGATGGAACACAAAGGCAATAAATTTCGTAGTGAGGTGAATAATTTCTCTGCGGGCAGAAAAAAAAACGTGGACATCACGAGAGGGTTCAAAGGAAAACTTCTTGCGTTAGCAGTCCTTAATGTTTACGAGTATATAAGTGGAATAATAATTTCTTAATTGGATAAATGCGTGCAAAATTACATACATATTCTCCCGCTCGTACACCCAGTGCCATAGTGAGAAAGAGTTAATTTAGGCTCGTGGACTTTGAGACTCAATAAAATAACCACGAAAAAATAATTACAGAGGGAAAGAAGTGGAATAAAATGTATCTGACTTTGCAAGACACTCGCGATGTGAATGTGCTCTTTATTGCCAATTATAAGTTATTAATCGATAAACGTACGTTTATCACTCGTGGAGAATTTCCATTGCCACTGCTGGTTTCCGTCGAAAGGACTTTCAGAAGGGTTTTACGCTTAACTGTGTGTGAAACTCTTCCGTGCCTATTTGTCTATTTGCACCTCCAAACCGCTTTGAGATTTTTCTGCTTGATAACAAAATAGCCTCAATCTATCAAGAAGTTAAATATAGGCTTATATCTGGTCACCATCTCTTCTATTATATATTTGCTTCATTTGCTTATACTTTGCTTATTTTCTTAGATGGCGCGTTGTCAAATCCAATCGTCTCCACTAATTATTACTTCATGACGTCACTCTAAGCCATCAATCTTCCAAAAAAAGGGGAATAAAATGTTGGTTTGCCTTTGTGTTTCTGCTGTAGGTAATTAAAACGGCTTTTGGATAGCATATAACAACGTGTTATTACGTATGAAATAATCGATTTTCCCTCTATGACGAAAGACAGCCTAACGCAAGGGAAAATTGCTTGCTTACGTATTGAAAGTCTCAGAGAAAATCAACACTACATTGCAGATTTTGCATGCTATTGTAGTTCATCAGCACTTAATATCTTAAAAGCATATCAATCATAATTTCTCTTAATAGTCTGCGTCTATCCTTATAAAGTTTATATTTATAGTACACTTTTAAAATCCTGGGTTTCTTTTCAAGTTTTGTTTGCGGTGAAGAATCGTGATTAGATGTAAAGAAATGCAATTTTTATGCTTATTTTGAACTTTGCGTTCTTTGCGAAGTTATTTTATCTTAAATTAGAAATACGAATGCAAAGGTTTTCTTATGAACTTTTCTGCGAACAAACATCAAATAATAGATTATAAATCAGAGATTACTTAGAAAATAGTTTCTTTTTTTAAAATATTTATCGTTTCAGACGCAATTCACTATTTTTCAATGAAAAGGAACTAAATCTTTGATAAGAATCGTAAGAGAAGAACAAAGAGCTTAAAAGCTATCATACATTTTGACCTCTAACCTCCTTTTCCTACCCTTTATCTGTGCCATATCTCTTGAGATGGCAAAGTGTTTCACTCAGTGGAAGAAGAAGGAATTGAGATCAGCGTGCCGCGAAGTATTTTACCCTCAATATTACGCCTTTCCTGACCTTTTTCGGAATAGAATTGATAAACCAAATATATATTCATGTAAAAAAGAATTGCCTTTTCTATACATACTTCTTTCTTTCACTGTTTTTTCTCTGTTTCCGTCCTTCGAATACGGAAAGAGAAACAGAATTTTGCGTGACCGAACGGAGGGAGCATGTTTTTAGAAAGCTTTACTGTGGTAACCACAAATTATATGTCCTATGGGAATAAAGAGTGATTTCTTTGAATATTAATTGAATCCTCATGCCAAAGCCAACGAGCCCACGATGAGGCGAAAGATGAACAAAGCTCGAGTGTGGATTTTATGTGGAGGGTTGAACAAAGGCACAAAAGGGTGGAATATTGGATATCCGCAGTGATAAATGAAATATTACGCATTTGCAGAATTGATTTTATTATAATTTCTAATTGTTGTATTTATTTACACATGGAGAACTCCTTCAAGCGCACATGATTTCTGCTTTGATTTAGTAATAAGCCTCCTTAATTGCAGCACTAGTGACTAGAATAGCGGCGGTTATAAGTAGCATTGTAATAACTTTTAGGGGACTTGGACGACCGGAAGAATCTGCAGGAGAAAAGTTCACAAAATTACTGTATGCGCAATTTTTAAAGGTTAAATCAATAAAGAAAAAAAAGTAATAATAGTTTCCAGCTGATGTGGGTTGTTTTTCGTGAATTTATGTTATTGCACTGTGTTTTTTTTTATTTCCTGCATTTTTTCCGCTCTCTTTCCCCAGCAACAGTATGTAATTTAGTTGCAGGAGCGAAGAGAAAAATAATATGCATGACTCATTAGGAATGTATTTTGGTGATATGAATTTCCAAGTGAACTACTCATAAGCATAGGAATGTGAAGTAGTTGGAAACTCACTTTTGCCCGTGGATTTCACACACTTGATTCTGGTGCTGTCTGGATAATAGCCATACTGACATTGGCAAACATTGTTTCTGCACTCCACTTGAGTCGAATTATCTATCACGAAGCATTCGCTGGATTTTGTGCATGACTCCTCAAGAACTGCAACAAGTCAAACATTAGACGCGCGTCGCGGAGTGACGGAAAAGTCTGCAATTACCCTTCTTCTCGTGGCACTTTCCGTCCTTGTGGTGGTGCTTCTCCTCATCGCACGCACACTCGCCGTCGATGCACTGCCCGAGGGTGCCCAGGAGCGGCTGGCACTGCTCGGACTCCACGCACTCGTCCCCGTACTTGCTGGCGTTGGGCAGACATTCGGTGTTGGCCGTGTGCGTGAAGCCCTCCTTGCAGCGGCACACCTTCTGGTCCATCTGCGCCGTCTCATCCTCCTTGTCCGCACTGTCAGTCATGCACTCCGTGTTGTCCACGGCACAGTCTTCGTTGCTTTCGCACGAGCCCGTGATCGCGGGCTTGCACTGCTCGTCCACTTCTATGTAGCTGTCGTCGCATGCGCACGTGTTGTCGGGCTGGCAGGCCGTTTTGCTCACGGAGCAGTCTTCCTTCTTCTCGCAGAACTCACCTAGACCCTTGCGCATCTCGCAGATCTGGCTCTCGGTGTCCTGGATCTTATAGGGATGGCAGATGCAGGACGGGATCAGCACGCCAGAGCTGCACATGCCCAGGAATGGAGAGCACTGACTGTGCGTGACACATGAGTATTGCAATCCCAAAACATCTGAGGAGCAAAAGCAAAGCCATTAGTCACACTGTCGTTAGGCAATGATTGTGGAACTCACTTCGGACACAAGTTCTCAAGTTTGGACGGTAGAAGGAATCGTATTCGCAAACGCACTTGTTGTTTCTCAAAACAGTGCCACATTGTTCTTCGCTTTGTGCTTCTTCGCCCAATTCTGTAGATAGAAGAGATAATTAATATTTCATCTTCCTGTGGAGATTTCCAGAGATTAAACATAGAAATTGAGGATGAAAAGAAGTCTGAGAGGCGTGGCATGCAAATGGGCGGAGCTTTAATTTTCTCACAAAATTATCTTCCGAAAGGTCTAATATGATTTTGCAAAAATAGAACAATTTTGAAAATGTATGTCACAGTCTGTCCAGAACATATTCACCTTTAAATGTTCTATACTTCATCATAAAATATTAATGAAAACTGCATATTGGAAATATTAATGAGGATTCGTAGAAAGCAATTTTCCAACTTACCGGCCATGCAAATTCCATTCAAAGGATAATACCCAGCCTTGCAGTGACAGCGATCCTTTCTGCACGTGGAATACGCCAATCCGGCGCAAGGTTCTCCGTTATTCACGCACGAATCGCCGACTTGGGGGAGGAAAAAGGGGAGAAATTGAGTCTCAATAGCCAGACAAATACTCACATTTGCATACATTGCACGCCTTCGTCCTTGGTGTCGTCCCTCAGCCGTCGCTCGGAGTTGGAAGTGGTGTCATCGGTCAGGAGGCTCTTCGACTCGGTGGGTGAATCCGTGAAGTCCGTTTGCACGCCGGCCTCCGTCCTGTCGTCCGGGCTCTTCTCGCTGCACTCTCGCGCCACACACTCATGATCGCCGCCCTGGCAATCGGCGTTAATGATACAACTATCGCCAACATCTATCAATTTGAAAATAAATCATGCACACCGTCTGCGTGAGTATCAATTATCGGGCTCACTCATGGATATCCGTCGACAAATATTTTCCCCGCGATGATAGAATCCGTCTGCACACTGACATGTGCCCGCCTTGCAAGCCACTGATTCTCGATCAAAGCCAAAATCACAGTCCAAATCCTGAAAATAGAGCGCCAAGGAAATTATGTGCTTAAATATTTACAATTTCATGCTCAATGAATCCATTTTTGGGTGGGCGGGGAGGATTTTTTTACGTGATTTAAAGAAAAAAAAACAACTGTAATGAAATTTTCCTTACCTCTTGACATTCATTGAACAATGGAAGCAACTTTCTACAACGACCGCGGACGTAGGTTCGCATCTCGAGTTCATCCCCGTCGCACGTGCAAACACCATTTTGGCAAGAAGCTCCCGTCAGCATATGAGAGCACTGGACGGCTTCCTCACAGGATTCGTCGATGTAGGACTCTGCAAGAGGACGATCTCGTCACTTATTTTCGTTGCAGGTGCGAATTTGGACTCAGCATTACCTCTCAAACATCTGGTGACGGCCGCATTAAAGGTGTATCCAGCTTCGCACTCGCAATTTCCTTGAGATGAGCAGTAAGTATCATTCACGAGATCCGTGCAGTCTATATCCTGCTCGCAGGGCCAATAAATCCCACTGGAATCTGTGCAGAAATGAAGTGAAAAGTTTGTGAATAACGCAAGAAATTGCCAAGAGCGAGGAGGAATCTTGCTAAAACTGCCCCACATTCGAACACACACTTGTGTTATGATTACTCCAACAGACCGAATGTCCTTCATATATTCGTTAGTGCTGTAAGAATTTTCCCTCTTCACAAATCCACATAAGTCATGAATAAAAGAGCGCTTCACAAAACACTCCCTTTCCTTTCTTTTTCCACCACAAATTTCCACATAATCTCCTTTGTGTGTTCAATCGGTTGAACTTCCTTCACTTCTTCACCCGCAACTGACTTCTTATCCGGATTTTTCACATTATAATTCATCAACTATTGAACTTTTACCTTTTATGTGACCGAGAAATATTGCTATTGCTACCAAGCATGTTAATTCCAATTTCATTGTTGCACTGAAACTGCAATTTTTTATTGTGGAGGTGATATATATGAAATGAAGCACTGTGAGTATTATTTTAGCACTGTCACACAGCGTTTGCCACGGCAAATGAATGTTCTGTGAGCATGAAATATCTCGGATGGCCACAAATGTGATGTCTACAAAGTGCCTTTCAAACAAATTTACGGCTCAACTTGTCATTGTGATTCCTCAGGAGAAAAGAAGGCAAAGAAGCCAGAATGCCTGCTTAAATCTATTGATTTTGGCTGCATGAATTTTAAATGTGGAAGATGGTGAAAAAAGAAGAGTGCTTTTGGCACAATAAAACCACCAAGATATCCAATACTCTTTCCTTATTGAACACTCTTCGCATAAATAATTTGCAACGAGAGCGCGACAGTTGATAAGACACAAATTGATACAACACCTGTCCAACGGTATATGCCACTTATAGATTATTTAAGATTTTGATGAATTCTCCAATACTGACTCTGATAAGCTATTGGCCGATATTCGGTGAATCACTCAACTTTCGACACTTGATCATCGGCACAGGTGGCCTCAAGATTGCCCACTTCATTTCACTGGCAATCGCGGAGTTTATTTGGGGTGCGAATTGGCACAGTGATGAGTCGTATCACGAAAATGATTACCTTCTGTTACTCCTCAGTTATGATTTCCACCACATTTCCTGTGAAACTGAGGAACACACGGAGAACCTTGGTATTTCCCGTGGCCTGGAAACCATGTGACTCACTGGTGGCGACCAGTAGAGATACATAGATACTTGCTATCGGGGAAATCCGGGGAAAATCGGTCATATTCACCTGTAAATTTTTAAACAGGACTGTCCTCACACGGGCTCACAACGGCAGGGTGAATCGCGACGGTCGCGCAAGTGGAAAAACACCCGCTCGTGGAGGAAAATCCATCAAACCTCCGTGCCGTGTCACCCTTTTGCGCGACGAATAGTGGACTTCTCAATTATTCACGCGCTACACGAATCGTTGTACGACGCTATTGCTCTAAATAGAGACATATTGACGCTTTTTCGCGCCAATAATGGCATTGTTGTCGTCACACAGGGAGAAATCCACCCAAACAACCCAGTTGTCGTGAGATTTAATGTTCACTGGGAAGTGCAATTTCATTCTGAGCGGAAATAGCAATTAGATGAAATATCACTTTTTCTGGTTCTTTGACTACTGCGTCACAATCTCGAAGGAAACGGATTGTGAGTGCGTCACCGTAAATCCGAAATCAGTTGGATTGAATTGAATTTCTTTACGCAGGAATTGGTTAGAAATGCGCTGCAAATCCCTTGATTTGGCAGCCTCGAATTGTCTGAGATTAGATCAGTTTCAAAATCAATTAAACCTTTATTTGTTTTCATCTTATGGTAATTACTTGTATATACACATACAGTACAAAGTAACAACTTCTATAATGGAAAGTTAAATGATAAAATTGTTATTATTTTACATACTTGCACTATGACTTTTTTTCCTTGCAAATTCGCATGTTCACATCCCAACTTCGCATATAATGTATAAAGTTCATTTCTGTTTGCTTCAAAAAATATTCTCTCTTACATTTCTACCTAACATTTTGGCATGGAAAAATGTGGCAAATTCTGGACAGAAATTTCTAATGATTTGAAACACACCCAAAGTCGAAAATGTATTTTTTTTCCTTAAATTCCTTTACTTTAATGAAACTCGCTCCTCAAATGATTCCATGATCCCATATATATATTCATCATTGTTTCGCCTTCTTTGGTAAGATTGAAGAAAAAAAAATGTAAGACTTGTTTTTTTTTTGTTGGTAATAAGATTTCCTGTGAACATTTCGTGATTATTATAAATTTGCAATAACAATTATAACGGATTGAATTCATTGTTCCAATTAAATAGTTTAAATAAAAAATATAGATATAGAGATGTCCTTAGTTGATTGGATAGGTTTTAATAGTTCTTTGTAAAAATAATTTGGTTTGGCAAATCCATTCTGTTGTTGTTTTCACACATAAAAATATTTTATACGCTTCCTTTTTTTCTCGTGTTCATAGGCATTCTAGGTACTATGTAATCCGTATGTAAGCAAAATGTGTGACGAATAGACTAAACAAAGACTCTAATTAGGGTGAAATAATAATTATAAATACAGTTAAGGCATAACTTAGGTTCTCTTAAAATAAAAATAATCTGTCAAATACTAAGGTTTCTCGTAATGCTTCTTAGTTAACCAGTATAATGATACATTTTAGCACGATATTAAGTTACTTATGAACAAATCATATTTGGGCGAGGTCAAAGTACTTCGCCAAGTGCACGAACTCATAGTTGACATGACTGAAAAGTCTCTAACAAGACGGACAAGAAGTACAGGTAAAAGTGTACGTATAGTTTATGGTTTTTCTACTCACCCTCACATTGACTATATTTTACAAAAAATTCTCTTCTATATACTTCCTTTACAGTTTACCATGAAAATCTTTTTTTTTTCTTTTTACCACTCAATTCGCTAAAAAATCAGTTTCTTTTTACTTTCGTAATTGACAATCAGATGAATATTATACAAATCTTGTCACTCAAAACTTGTTCTCCTCTGATAAAAATGGAAGATGTGTAATACTGGTAATACACTGAAAGGTTTACCTTCGTTATTTCATCAAATATAGCGTCAAAATCAATTGATTTCATGAGTAATTGCTAAACAATAGGACAAATTTCAAAAGTATGTGTCTGTGTGTGTATTTCTAAGGCCATAATTTTTTTTTTTTATGAAACATTACATTTTTTTTCATCGTAAAATTATTGTTTGCATTCCTCTTGCATTGTTTAATTCTAAAAATTGAGTTCGTACATTTTTTTTATCTCTGTTTATTCACTGTTTAATCCTCTATTGAACGAAAAAAAACCTAATAATTTTAACTGAAAAATAAATACAATGACTAGAAAGTTTTACTTTTCTTCAAAAAATACTTCATTTTTCTTTATTTCGGCAAATATTCCTCATTTTTTTTTCTTGTCTTGTACATTTGAAAAGGAGAAAAATATATAGTTTTCTTGCGCATCCATCAAAATAAGTTAATCTTTGCAAAAATCTTGTTAGGATTATTTCCACAAAAAAGTGTTCATCTTAAAAATATTGCTTCAAAAATCTGTACCTAAACATCCTTAAATGTTCTGAAAAAAGTAAGAAAAATAAAATTATTCAATATTTATGTATAAAGTTCTTGTTTCCAAATACACACTTGCATTTCATTATCTTTCTCTTTCTTTTTTTATACAATTAATCTCTCTACTCTTAGTGTTTTCTTTTCATCTGTTTTCTCTTATAAGAAAATGCATTTTCACATAATCTTGTGCGCGCAATCGGTAAACTACTTAATTGGCATCTTTGACGAGGACTCAAGTTTTGTGATCCGTGTGTTAATTGCGTGCATTGAGTGTGTATATGCAAATACATTTTACATTATAAGGAAGAATCTGGTGTCTCTTAACCCATTAAAAGTTCAATTTTTATCATCATTGCACTATTTTTTCCACCCTTTCTCTTTCACTCTCTCTCTCTCACTTTCTCACCTCGCGAAAAGCTTATCCCTTAAGATATGGCGCTTCTTTTCCTCCACCAAACAACCATTATACGCAAAATTACTCATTCTGACTCCCACCGACATTATTTGCACTGCCCGGCGTCGAAGAGTTCTGCTTCAGCTTGTCGAACAGCTGCAATTTGGACCGAACTGCACCCTCGCACACAGTCAATCGCTGCTGCGTGGGCTTCTTATCCAACTCCAGGCAGAACGCCTCGTAGTCAACATTGCGGCCCTTGTAGTCGGCAAAGCCGTACTCGCGCTTCATGTCGCTGAAGCATCCCGCCAGCGGATTCCGTGCTGATTGCGATGCAAACTGCGTGGACGGCGTCGTTTTGAGTGACTCAGGTACGCTGAACTGCTTAAATGCCTGACCCTTGCGCTCAAAGTACTCCACAATCTTGGCAATCTGAGCTGATCTCGTGTTGGGAATCGCCGTGTACGATCGATCGTCCCACAGCAGTGAATCCGATCCCGCCAAGCTGCTGATGTCGTCAGAACTGTCTGTGTAGATGGACGACGTCCTGTTCTTGCAGTACAGCAACTGATTGGCAAACTGACTCTTCTGTATCAGACTGTTGATCTCCGAGTCCAGCGCCAATCTGTTAATCAGTCCCATGTCAATCGATCGCGTGTCGATGTCCACATTGCTGCCAATCATGTGGTGGCGACAGTGGAATCGCTGCTTTCGCGAGTCCGACAGCTCCAAATCATCCAGACTCCGCAGCGAACTCACCGGCGTCGACGCATCGTCGAACAGGAGAATGCTGTTGGAGTCATTCAGCGTCTGACTCGACAACTCCAGATCGTCCTTCTTTGGTGTCTGATACTGCTGTGCCGCGTAGAAATCGCACGGACACAGTTGCAGGCGATCCGGTGTGTCCATGTTGATGCGATCGAAGCAACACGAGGCCGACGCACCACCACCAAAGTCCTCATTGAGACAGGAAAAGAAGCCACTCTCCGTCGAACCGCGACGATTAAGTACATGCGGATTCTCATAGCAAACCGTCTCACTTGAGTCCGATTTGCTCTTCTCAATCAATTCCTTCTCCGGCGCCTCGGGCGCCACTTTCTTCTCCTCGTCGTGCCCACTCTTGAACAGCGGATGACTGAACAGGGAATTGGCTTTGAACTTCTTAATAGTTCCCGTGCACTTCTGCAGATCCAGCTCCAAATACTCCTTGCCGCCCTTATCACAACTCTGCTTCTTCCTGCTCTTCGGACACGCTTCCGTCGCCACTGTCGACGTCTGGGAATTGTACTCCTTCCGGCCACTAATCGGCGAATTGGGAAGACTCTTGGGCGTGATCTCACCGTTTGGGCCGGCCTTGTCGAAGTACGTCCACTCCTCCTTCACCAGCGGCGACGACATCTCGAAGCACGAGCTGAACAAGTCGCCAACGCCGGCCGTGTAGGAGCTGGGATTTGCACCGAGAATCTTCTTCACGCCACGCAACTGTGCCAGCGCCGTGAACGGATTCAATTTGGTATTCTCGCCACCGACGCGTGGCTTGTACTGCGGATCCTTCAGGAACATCGTCTCAGCCACTTTCCTCAGCGTCACATTCGAATATGTGGGCGAGTCGGGTGTGGGCGAGTCTGGCTCTCGACTCTGCCTGTTCAGCATGTGACAGCGCGCCTTGTCGCTCGGCGTCGTGTGCTGCGGGAAGACAATCACGTTCTCAGACATCGATCGGCGATGCTGCAACGGCGCGTGATCCTTCAGCTCACTCTTGTTGCGCATCCGCACCAGACCTTCCTCCTCCTCACTCGATTCACTCGCGCCGGCAGCGTTCACTCTGGCGTCCACCGAATTGCGCTTCACGCCGTTCGCCAGCGCCCCGTTCAGCGCCCTGTTGGCCACCGCCTCGCTCAGTGGCGACGAGACAATGTGCAGCACGCTGTCGTCGTCGTTGACTTTCTCCAGAAGCATGGTAATCTTCTTGACAATCTCCATGAAGGATGGTCGACTCTTTGGATCATACTGCAAGCAAAAGAAAAATATTAAAGCTTCTTTCATGCAATTTCATTATGAACAAGCAAAGCGTTGTTTCTCTTCAAAGCACACTCCTCAAAATTTGCACGAAAAAGGCTTGAGAAAAGGTGATAATCAAACAATGGTTCGAGACATTAGACCTTGAAATCTTAACTAAACAGCACGCGTTCTTCATGCCACAACTGACTTCTGTTGGGTCGATCTTTAAATTGAGACAAAGCTGAGAAACGAGTCTGCTAAAGTGTTTAATTAGTTGGTGAATTCAAAAGTAAATTTCGTGTATTTGACGAACTTCATCTTTCTCTCTTTACTAAATTCGAACACACAATTTAAGGGCGATAAGAGAAAATGATCTTAAAAGACAATCTTGATATAAACTGCATTAAAAGCGAGAAATTCAGGAAGTTCTCAATAATTCTTCACAGTCATATAGGATGTATAAACTTTCATTGCCATTATAATCTAATTCTTTACACTAATTTTCTAATTTCATGATTATGAATGAGATTCACATGAATATCACTTCCTTATTGCGCCCTTTTAGGCCTTCTGGCACGCATAAATATGATCTTTTTATAGCTTCTGTACTTGAATTTTAAAAGTATCTTTAAAGGCAAACTGCTTATCTCGACAAACGTTTCTAAACCCTTCGTATCTTCTGAGAAATGATAGAGAGTGTTTAATAAGTTCTCATCATTGACACAGTCTTTCTGAGAATACAACTTTCAGTTGAACAGTTGCTCGACTAATTATGTCTTCAAATGATAACTGCGAAATTTCTACTCACGGTACAACAATAAAATGCCAGTCTTAAGAATGCAGGTGGAGTATCAGCAGGGCACAAGTCCACAAACGCCAAATAGTCTAATCCAAAAGAGTCTGTTCTCGGCAAGATATCTGGATCCGCTTCGATCTGTCATGCAATAAAACATCATTAATCATGAGAACATGTTCCAGTTAAAATTGTGGCACTTACACTTGCAATTACTTCACATAAAATTATTCCGTACGAAAAAACATCGCTCGTCTGATCGTACCACAGCCCATTCAGACATTCTGGACTCATCCAATACGGCGAACCAACTGTATCCAGGCGATTTTTGCCACTGTCGGGAGAAATTACAGTGTTAGAGTGTGGAAGAAGCTGTACTTTGAGCAAAAATTACCTCTTCTTCCGCGGGATTTTCGCTGCAAGTCCAAAGTCACCCACAACAGCATCAAGTTGTCCACTCGCTGATCTCCTTATCAGGACGTTCTGTGTGAGAATCATTGAAGAACGTCAGTGGAAATTGGGGGATGAAGGTGGATTTTAGGGATGAATTACCTTGCTTGTTAAGTCCCGATGAAAGATTCCAGCATCGTGAACATATTGCATTCCCCTGGCAATGCCCAGGGCCAGTCTTATTTTGACACAGGGCGACAACTTGTCACCCTGCGATTGAATCAACTGCTCCAGCGAGCCGCCACTGATGTATTCCGTGAGGGCGTGCAGTTGCCCCTCTTGCACGCACACGCCCATGAAACTGCAAGGCAAATTGAGACGATCGTCATTAAGCGTTTACTTCTATTACAACAGCAAGACTTCAAGAAAACTCACCTCAAAATATTTGGATGGGACAATTTATTGAGCAGTTGTACTTCACGCAGCATATTTGGCCGATTTGATCTCAATTGATTCATCTTCAGTACCATAACTTGTCCAGTAGTTCGATGTGTCACCTGAGCAAAAGAAGACGTAAGCGAATTAATATTAAATAAATCCACTTAAAATGCTGTAAAGATTTCAAAACCCAAATAAAAATGCACAGTTTGATAAGAGTTGGAATAAATTTGCACACGCCAAAAGAGATTGCATAAACATTTTCTATTTGCCAGTTAAAAACATCATCGGACGTGCGCGCTTGTCGTGTTTATAAAAAGGCCAATAAGACTTTGTGGCACTCCAAGTCATATAAACACCCGAATTTGGCATCCAAAATAACATTCAAATCGCGCCCTATCTCATCATCTCAACCAGCAACATTTCTTCTTGACGCTCAATCCATTTACACGTGCATTTTCACCTTCCAAGACAGCAAGACGATCGTAGAGAGTTAATGAGATGGAGATGAAGAGAGAGAGAAAAAAATTTCTACACAATAATACCCAATTGGTATCTCACAAAGTAATAGGAGAATGTGTGTAAAGTCAATGCTTGAGACGGGGAAAGAATTTCATATTTACATATCTGCTGCTCATTCACGACGCGGAAATTCATTATTAATTTCATTTTTCACACTCGCTGCTCACCAGGAATTCTACAATCATTCTGTCTATGGTTTAAGTGTGACGGTTTCGTTGCCAAAAAAGAATTCCTTGGTCACCGCCACAAACTGATTAGATTACAGAAACAGTGCGCTTATTGACTTGCGAAGAAGGTGGCGCAGAAAATAATATACCAGGGGGGAAATTGCTCTCCAAGCCAAACATATAATATAATAAAAGTCATTGCAAAATGTATTGGTTTTCAGCACTGTATCTAACATACTTATGTGCCCACGCACGCTTGTAGGTAGATGTTACCTATTTATAAAGAATGAAGTGGAATTCATTATCTCTAAATACCAAAAACTCTTCAATTGGACGAACAATAAACTTTATCTATTGAGTTTCTTTGCACACAGCAAAGCCCCGATTCTCGCCACATTATTTCTCTGTGGCTCCTGAGCAACTTCCTTTTGCAGGTACGATTTTAATTGAAACTCTTCGCCTAAAGTCATCCACTGCAGTTATTGGACTATAAAGTGTAAAATCCTCAATCCTCTGAAAAGAAGTTATAAATATACTCATGGCGAATCCTACACAAAAATCACACCACAGAAAGACTGTTGAAAACATTTTCTCTCGCTCATTGCGAGGCAGACATCTCGGTTACTTTTCTCACCTCGACGAATCATTATTCGAAACTCCACAGAAGAAAGAAGTGAGTGAATCACTGAGGTTTTTCTTATTTTTCACATTTTTAACGCAGCCTCTTCCACAGGCGTAGTGTGAAATGAACGAAAAAAAACCACAGGCAAATTCAGTAATTGTACCAAATAGGGTAAAGCGGGGGCTACTTTGAATCCAAACCAGGCCAATTTCGCATCAACTATAGCGAAATAGATGCTAATACGTATCATGGATTTAATTGAAAGTCATTTTGAGTGTTTCACGAAGCGTTTAAAGTTCCTTGACAACAATTTTCTCACTCAAATTTTAACACAGAATTAAAGTTAAATTGTAATTATTTATGTTTTTATTTCCATTCTGACAAAAAGGGTTGGTTTATTTGAAAATAACTGACCAAACTGCAATTGTTTTGAGTAATTAGTCAAAAACACAACTAAAAACATAAATTTTTATCAATAGTTTGCAAATGAAATTTGGCTCGCAATGTCAAATCACAAAGAAAAGCAGACGAAATACTTCCGTATTGATCTAAAACGATAGCTAAACTACGTCACTGACGCCTCTTTATGTGAAAAATCACTAAATATTAGAGCACAAAGCATCACGTGCATCTCCATTCCAACATTGAGGAGCTTTGGAAATCGATCCCTGTGTGACAAGCATAATTTCAATGTAGGGGTTCTTCTCAGAGATTAAAGAAAATATAATAAAGAGTAATCGTACAAATGCACATGCTATATATACACATCATTCTTCACTGTTGGGCTGTGTGAAATGGTTCATTGAAGAAGAAAGGCGCTTTTTGTTCGAGTTGTAAATTAAATTAAGTAAAGTAAAAGTAAAACATGAATCCCACCGAATGTGCCTCAAATGAAATGAATGCATTCACCGGATCGCAATTTTTCCTAGCGCTGTTTTCTGCTACTCCAATGAAGATTGTTTATTTCCATCACTTCTCCGCTATGATAAAAATATAAAAGATGTACGAGTTTTATTCTCTCCGCCAGTCATATTTACTAGTACGTGAATATTATTGCTGGCGGACGCGCATAAGTAATCAATTGAGAGAGAGCGCTTATTCTAATGACTCTCGCAGCATTTTTTTTCCCCGTCGCGCTTTTGGAGGATCTCCAGGTCTAGGTTAAGGTCGCAAATCACTTTGCATCGCGCGCCGAAGGACAGCCAGAGCAATTTGACAATTTGTCTGAATAATCTCTGCACTGAAGACACTGAATAGCAAATGAGAGCATTCACATCGGCCAGAGTTGAAAACGAAAGTCAAATCTTCGAAACATAAAACTTCAGCTTAAACTCACGTCAACCTTGAATATTTTTTATACACACATGGCAAGTCCAACAATAAAAATACAATTAAACCTTCATTATTTCTCTGTTGCCTCTTGTAATGAGAGAAACGCCGAGAAGAGAGAGAGAGAAACTTTTACATGATATGAATTGAATGCATCTATATATCTTTTGAGTTTGGTGAAATTTTTCTAGTATTAAAATGCAAATTGGTTCACATATTTCCTTAAAAAACAAACACCCATGGAAAAAAAGCACACACGAGAAAGTGTCTTGATTTTATAATTGATAAATACGCTAATTAGCCACTGAAGACATTGTCCTGTGTGTATTATAATAGAAATATGCAATGCTTGTAATATTGAGTTACTGATTCTCTTGACACTCTTTACTCAAAAGACGGCCACGAGTCGCGCGTCAACACATTTTCTTTCTACCCTTTCTCTTCTTTGGCGCATAAAAAAAGTATAATACTTCCGTAATATTATTGATTATCTTCTAATAATACAGGCAGTCTTATGAAACCAGACTTACTCTTCAAGAAACAACACCTCCGCAAAGAGAGTCCGGGAAATTCAACTTAATTCACTGCGCTTTTGATTTGTAAAAATGTTACAAAATACAGAAATAATTGCTGTGAAGAGTTGTTTAAGGATGGCCGTTAGCTAACATCTTAAAATACAGTACAAGAAATGATTTGAAAACATCATTAGGGGAGAACTGGGTCGATTCGACCACAGTGAAATTTTTCACAGCTTTGAATTACTGCCTTGACAATGTTTACAATCAATGTGTTATCGATAAGCAAATACTATTCGATTTCGTGTCAATTGCATTTGAAGGAAGTGTCGGTAAGTTTATAGATAATACCGACACTTATCGATACGAATTATGTGCAATTTTCTTTTTTAACACAGTTTTAGGGGAAATTGCACGCAATTCGTATCGATAAGTGTCTGATAAGTCCCTTAGACAATTTTATATTTGCAAATTTAAGACTTTTGGCTTGCAAATCATGATTTCAGTCATATTAGATTGTCAGCTGTCAGCCTTCGATACTGCCCTGCTCTCCTCTAAGCAACAAAACTCAATTAGCCAGAGTGTTTTCCTGCCTCTTTATCCCTAATCCTGACCAATGAGCCCACTTCTCAAGCTTATCTACCTGCCTTTGGACTGCTTCTAATCTCGAGTGGGAAAAGAATGAAAATCCATCACGTGACTTTTAGCATCTCCACGATTCTCACATGATTCTCGAATCATATTTATTAGTCGCTATCGTTGCTATGAAGTATCACGAGCCCAAAAGCCATAGAAAAGCGCCAAAGTAATTGTTAAGTGCTTGTCTTTGAGATCTTTTTCAGCTATACTTGTGCGATGTTGTGTTGGTTTATTGTCACTGTGTTTCACCTCTGCGACTATTGGAACTCGTTTTCATTCATTTTATTACACCTTCCTAGCATCAGCACAGTATTTACTACAAGAACTATAGCTGGATTCGCTCTTGGGATTACGTAAATCATTTTGCTCCTCTTGCAGATATTTTTTCACACACACGATCGGCGAGATGATGAAAAAAGAATGATTTTCAGCGAGCGATAGCCCAATTTCGCTCCTTATTTTTGGTATTTCGGACAGTGCGTGTAGTCCGCTGGCCTGGAATGCGGGTCGCGCGCGGAAAATGGCACGGAAAAGCCTCCCAAATGGCCTGAGTCATTAGGGATGCGTGTGGGTGACTCACCTTGTACACTTCGGAGAAGAATCCGCTGCCGATCTTCTCCTTGACGAAGTCGTCGACGGAGTAGAGCGCCGAGACGGCGGTCTTGAGGGCACGACACGAGGGCCCAGTCACTGACCGATCCGAGAGGCCCCGACTGAACGGCGGCCCCGGGCCGCTGTGTGGGCTCACGTTCATGGCTGCCGTGTCACTCCCGGACGGGTCTATCAGCTCCACTGGCGCTCACGCGGGCGCACAACTCCCATCGCCGGGCCAAGTCCTCGCCTGGCCGCGTCAGTCTCTGTTCGCGCGGGGCGGAATCCCCCGAATTGTCACACACTGCGAAAGGGGGCCAAATCACTCATTCGCCCTGCGGGCGCCACTCACTGCACTCCACTCGACACTCTGGGGCACCGCGGACACCGTGCGGGGGCGCAGGCGATCGGATAGTCCTCTTGGAGAACGCCAAAACACTTTTTCACGGAGAAACATTGGACGTCACTGCGATTGAGGGCATTTTGTGTTTTTCTACGACATCTCCATTACTGACAACCAATGATGTGTCCTCGATGAGAAAATCGATGAGTCCCAGCTGGCGGCCTCTCAACACAGCACGCGAATTGCTACTCGTGGCGCAACTGATTTAGCAGAGAAGGAAAATGTAAATTTGCTTGATTTAACGGAAATTTGGATAAAGGGCACAAAAAAATTCCAAAGTTGCCGATTTATTAGGTACCAATTGTCTCCAACGATGCTCAGAAATGGGCAATTTGATTTGGTTTTATTAAAGAATTTTTTTTGAAAAGTGTAAAATGTCACAGATATGATTTCGGAAATATACCTACAGGCGAAAATCACGTTTATTGTCTCTAAAATTTTGTTTAATGCGATCTCAGCCCACTAAAATTTGTCCAAGAAATCTTTGGACGGGCGCAGTCAGTTGGGTAAAAAAGTCGATGAAAACTGAATCATTCAAGTGCCTTAGCGCCCTCTATTGCTGTTGCAGTGAAGGACCGAATAAAAATACTGATAATCCGGATAAACCACTTCCAATTTAACATTACAGGTGTGCGTCTTATCTAAAAGTGCATTTAACTTCTTCAAATGAAATAAATACACTTCTTACGGTTGGGACTTGGAATGAAAAATCATTTTCTATCATACTTTAATGTTCAATTTATTTGCAGTTACTAATAACATGAAAGTACAGAATTTTCATTCATATATTTTTTTCTCAAATTACCTTCTACAGAAGTCTAGAAATGTATCACATGTGAAATTAAACATCATAATGTAAATATACACAGCTAAAATTAACGTGTGATTTAGTAATGGACTTTCTTGCAAAGACTGAAAAGAGATTTTTTTGCGGAATCTTCAAATATATGTGAATGTAAGTTTGAAACGTTAGTAAAAGTATTTTAGTTCAAAAATATATACCTTTTTCTCACCGAAAAAAATGTCTTAAATCGTTTGCATGCACAAATTAACTGTCTATTTTTGCCACTACATTTTCCAAACACACGAACAAAAAGACTTGGCATTTTGCACTCAGCGCTTCTCGCATTAAACTGGAGGCTTTGTGGGCTCTCTCAAGGATTTCTCTATACAATTTCTCTGTAAATAAAATATATAAATCAATTTTGGCGGGAATTATTCACTCACGATTTACAATCTCAAGCACAAAAACTAATTTTCTCATCACTAAATGTGTGCTGAGCGACGAAAGTCATGCCAAAGTCTTTTCATCGTGTGACTACAAGGTTTTACTGTTTGCCATTGCCGCTTGCGGACTGAAGAGACGACTTTGCTGGTGGTTTTCCTTTGGTAATTTGCTCAACATGCGACGCAACAGAAGCCGTGGCCAGATCTGCGCCGAGTTCCGTTGTCGGCGCGGCGACGGAAGTGGTGTTCTTCATCACGGAAGAGGCGGCGGAAGTCGTTGGGGAAGCGCCGGGCGTCATGCCGTCGTGCGTGGCACTCGTAGGAGAGTCCTTCTCCTCGGCGATGCGCGGCAGCAGCTCGCCCGGCGCCTGCAGCGACAGAGTGAGGATGTTCGGCGGATTCGTGGCCTGAACAGTGTCGCACGTGTCAAAGGACACCCCGGAAAACTCCTCGCCAGTCGATCCACCCGATGTGTTTGCCAGAGACGCCGTGACGACGGCCGCGGAGATCGAAGAGGTGACTTGAGAGCTTCCCGTGGCGCGCCACACGCCCGACACCGGCCGGCTGTTCTTCGTGATCTGCGTGGAGCAGCACAGCGGCGAAATCAGCGTGCACTTGCTCTCGGCACTGCGCGGATGCAGGCGGTCCGGCGACAGCGCGCGCCGCAGGAGCGGCGAGCTCGGCTCCGCGCTCTTCGGCCGCGCAAATGACTTCTTAGCCACCACGGTCGTCACGCTGGTGGTGTTGGGCGTCACGCCCGGACTGTAGGATTGAGTGGTGTTGGATGAGCCCGGCTGGTGGCCGATGGGGAAGGCCAGAGGACTGGGAGATCTGGTGGGCGAGGCCGGCAGTGGCGAGGGCGAGGGAGTGCGCGCGAGCGGCGACAGTGGAATGTGTCCCACGGACTTGCGCCTGTTAGGCGCCGTCGACGCACTCGAGGCGTGCAGTCCCTTGCCCGACGGACAGGTGGACGTGTGCAGCTTGTGCTTCAGCCCGTGCAGTGTCGATGGGCGCTGGTACAGCTGCCCGCCGGATCCCGTGGGTGTGTTGGGCGCCGAGGAGCTCGGCGAGCTCGACTGCGACGAATTACTCTCCAGCGGACACAAGTTCAGCCTATTCAACGGCGGTGTGCCCGAAGTCGTGGGGAAAGACAAGCTCGGCGTGACGCTCGTCGGCGACGTGAAACCCGCCGCCATCTGCTGAATCTCCGCACTCGCCCTCTTGCTGCTGATCCTCCTGAAAAGCGACGTCTTGCGCTTCTTCTCGCTGTCCTTCTTCTGCTTCTTGTGCCTGTTCACGCCCTTCTTCGCCAACTTACTCTGCCACAGCTCGCGCTTCCGTCCGCCCGTCTGAATGCTCGTGTTCGTGAGCGGCGTCGCCCGCAACATCACATGCTCAGAGCCACTGAGGAGCAACTGAAGCACTTGCGTGTGATACAATCCCTGTACAGCCTCGCCATTCACGTGCGTGATCAAGTCCGCCGGCCGCAGCCCAGCCTCGAACGCCGGGCTGCCTTCGTCCACGGCCATCACGAGATGGTGCATCGTGTAGAAGTCCGTGTCGCCATAATACACGCGGATCGTATGCACGGTGAAGCCGAATCCGCGCGGGCCGCGACGAATGATGATCGGCGGCTTCAGATTCGTGACCAGAGGCGACAATTCTCGGCACGGCGACGTGTCACGAGAACTAGCTGTGCTTGAGCTTCCGCCACCCGATGGCGACTGGATTCCGCCCAGCGACGACGGAGGATCGTCTGAATAAGAGAAGATTAATAACAAATGACTCTGTTTTATCCCCAATCGAAAGCAGCCCCAACTTGCTCTATCAATTTAACACTCCACAGAAGCCCATTATTCAATGAAACTCCATTTCATGCCACCAAGAAGCACACAACAATGCTATAATAAGTACCTGTGCAGAACATGAGTGACAATCCAAGTGCGGAAGCACTCTTGACAACCGACCGAGATCTATGCTTCGCAATCGCGCCAGAACTCGCTCCGGATTGTGGTGAGAAGTCCTTTGTGTTCTCCGACGATGACGTGCCCGTTTCGTGACTGAAACAACGCACAAGAGAAATGACGCTTTAAGCACACACGCCCACGCGCGCTAATTAAGCTAATGCTCACTCACCCGCTGTGCTCATCCTCAATTGAGATGGAGAAACGCGGAAGAATCTCCCTGGAATGGCCTGTTTTCCTCTTGCGCTGAATCTGAGGCGAGACATCGTCACTGTCAGTTTGCGAAGACTCAGGTGTGCTCAATGTCTTTCGCGATGGTGCCGGCAAAGGTGTCTTCTTGCCGTCAAACGCCGCCGGTGGTAAATGCTTATTAGCAACAGACTCAAATGACGTCTGCCTCTGTTGCTCCTGCTGACGCAAATACTGATGAATTGTCTTAATCTCCTCACGATCGGGCGTATTTAGAAGTTCTGGCAGATAATCCGTGTCCGGTGTCGATGGCATTCGAATACTTCGATGACTCTTGACCTGGTGAAAGACAGATTGCAAATAAATATGCATTGCGCATAACTCGAAGTCAGCTTTTATCGTCATTACATCCAATTTGCGAAGTTCTGGCGTTGTAATCTTCTTCAGTTCGTCACTCTCCATTGATGTATTCGACAGTGTTAAGCGCGATGAGCACTGTTGCTTGCGGAAGTGATGGGAATATGAGCTGAATGATCCGAATAAAGGTGTGTCTTCCGTTTCATCCGTGTCCTCATCACCGAGATCATGATTGTACCGATCCATGCGAGCTGTGAACAGAAGATAGTTTGTGAAGAAAATCCACCAAAAAGTATGTTATAAAATCAGAAAATGAGTAAATAGTAAAGGAAATTAATAAAAAAAAATACAGAATTGCTTTTCCCCCACATAAAAAACACTCTCTTTGCTCTGAGGCTCTCAATACTCACTATCAAAGTAACTTGTGTCATCATCGTCTGCCAGCTGCGGTACAAATTCAGCCTTCTGACGGAGCAGAGAATTCCAATTGACCAGCTGAAAGTAGACGTGGTCCTTCACCTCATGGGCACCGCCCGTGCCCAATCTGTCTCTCGGATTCTGCTGCAGCAGTTGAGTAATGAGATTCTTCGCCTCCGGCGCGATGCACCAATCCTCACTGTCCGGCCACTCAATGTCATCATTCACCGTGTGCGCGAACAGCTCCTCAGGCGTCTCTCCGAAAAATGGCACGCATCCTATCAGAAATTCATACAAGATGATCCCCATTGACCACCAATCCACGGGTTTCCCGTAGCCTTGCCGGAGTATCACTTCGGGCGCAATGTATTCTGGCGTCCCGAACACTTGTTTGTCAGAGAATTGACGAGTTTCACTGTCAATGTAGCCTTCATAGAGATTTGTGGCCAGCGACATGAGGCCCATCTTCGACAGACCAAAGTCCGTGAGCTTAATGTGCCCCAGAGCGGTTATCAGCAAATTATCCGGCTTCAGATCACGATGAACGATGCCGTAGCTGTGCAAATACTCCACGGCTAATACTGTCTCAGCAAAGTAGAATCGCGCCATGTCCGACGGCAGCGGTCCGATGCTCTTCAGCATTGTGGCACAATCGCCACCCTCAACATACTCCATCACGAGACACAAGTGCTTCTTCGTCTCGAAGCTGCAGTACATCGACACGACGAAGGGATTGTCGGCAAAGCTGAGAATGTCCCGCTCGGCAAACACCTGCTCCACCTGATTCCGCAGAATCAAATTGTTCTTATTGATCTTCTTCATGGCAAACCGCTGCCTCGATTGCTTGTGCTTCACCAGATAAACCGCCCCGTATGCGCCATTGGAGATCAGCTTCACCACCTCAAAGTCCTGCTCATTCGGCACCGTGTTAATCTGCGGATTTCCAAGCGTTGCCCTCTTCACGTCCTGATTCGGTGTGGACGTCAAGTAGATCTGCTGCTCCTTCGACACATCGCCAATCTCAATGGAATCACTCTTCTCACAGCTCCGCCTCACCTCCCCCTCCGTCGACTCCTCCGCACTCGCGGTGGCATCGCCACTCACATTCTTATCACACCAGTTTCTGTTGTTCTCCTGCAGCTCATTCTGCAGCTCCGCTATTGGATCACGATTGAGGCCCAGCTTGTGAATAATGTATTGCGGTATGTCGGCCTTCATGCCTGGCAATGATTTCGCCTGGCCCTCGGCCGCCTCCAGCAGTCTATAGAACTCCTCTGGGTCAAATTCAAGACACTCCAGCAGTCGCGCCGGACGTGATATAATAAGCAGCAATTTCTTAATGATTCCACTCAATTCCGACACCGATTCCGGTGATTTCTCCTTCGTCTCGAGAAGTAGACGCTCAAGATTCTCAGTCATTTCATAGAAATATCGACTTGTGATCAATTTCGTGTGGGACTTGTGGAGGCAATCCCTCGCCATTTCCATCACTTGATGGTGCACAAAGCGCACAATTGGACTTGAATCACAGAATTTGCCCAACGACGTGAAATTCTTGTTCTCATTGATAAAATGCGTGAGCCGCTCCTCCATCTGCTGCGTCGCCTTCGGAAAGCGCTCCTTGTACAGCGTGTTCATCAGCGCAATTTCACTGTCCACAATTGGCGAACGACTCGGACTGCTGAGACTCCGCGAGCGCGGCCTGTGATACGGCGAGCGTCGCTCTGAGTTGCCCGAGTCTTCCTTGCCGCTGCTGCTGTTGTTCTGACTGCCCGGACTGCACGTCGTGAGCGGCGATTGCTGCAAATTCCTGCACGCGTGATGATGCTGACCATGACCGGCGTAGCAGTGAAACAGATCGACGCCTGGATTGCTCTCGTTGCTCGAGAAGTGATGCGTGAGCAGACGTAATTCATCATTTGTCGGCATATTTGGCAGCTGATGAAGCCTCTCCTGGCTCGAGCACTGTGACTGCGTGACCAACTGAAGGCGAATCAAAGCGAAAGAACATCAATTAGCAGACACAACAACTCCATGGACTAGAATTGAGCTCAATTTGAGTCTTCTCGCTCATGATTTCAAGCCTCTTCAGGCATTAAATCATAAAATGAGATTCTCAGTCTCGCTTTTTCCCAACATTCACATCATCAATCGTCATTAAAACAAGTATTTTGAAGGCAAACAATAGATGAGATTTGAAATTTCCTAAATTTCAGGCTTTTACGGCAGTTTAGCAACTGCAAAAAGCAATTTCGTTCCTCAAAACACTTGTTTAAGTACTGAAATTTTCACTCCCTCAGTTCACTCACCGACAAATTCGAGCTTCCCGGCGTTGTTCCGTATCCAGACGACGGCAGCGAAGCCACTGACCACCTTCGGCCGTCTGCGCGACAATTGGACAGCCTCTTGATGGGCACGAAGGGAAACTGAATCATGCTCGGTGAATTCACCCGCGGACTGTCAATGGGACTCGCGGAGATCGGCGAATGCGAGCGCGGTGATGTATTTGCAACCAAACTGAGACGATGATTAGTAATTGTAGTATTGCGATTAGTTGTTGATGTGCGACGATTAGATATTCCCAATTCGCGCTGCAAAACACGGAAAAACACACACAGCATGTAAGAAAAGTGTCAAGCAATTGCAATATCCATTTTTGGTGCGCCTCGAGAGAGAGAATGAGTTTCTTCTCACTCCCACTTTTGTTGTATAAATAAAGTTATTGCACTGCAGCTGTATTTTTGTTTTGTATTCCCCAAAAGTATGCTACAAACACACGGCACAATATTTCTTTACTCTCTATTTCTCTCCTCTTCACTGTTGGTTAATTGAAATACCGTCCAAAACAGCGGTCAAAATAAATAATCAATTAAGATACACATAATGTGTTCGGCTTTTATGACTCATTTTCAACAATATTCAGTGGCATTTTGGGTCGTCAGAAAATAGAGAAACATTTGATTTCACTCTATCCATAGTTTTCTCTCTCGTGCAGACACAAAGTGCTCATTATTGGGAACTCACCATGCTTGCTGACAGAGATGGAGCAGATTTTCCCAAAGTGCTGTTGCGAACTCTCACTAAATTAGACACATCTGCAAGAGGAGAATAATTAAATCAATACATTGTTTCAGCGAAGAGCAGAAGAGGCTCTAGAATGATTCACTGACTTCATGTTCTAGCAAATTAGTTACCTTCTGAAAACACTCTTCAGTACAAGGGAACAAAGGCAAGAATATCGAATCATGGAAAATATACAAGTTTTTCAATTAGAAAACCTGTGAAATTTGCAAGTGAGAATTTATTCAACTGAGAAAAAGTTTCAATTTGGCTTTTCCCTCAATCTTTTTCAATATACAGCAAAATGTATTTAATTTATCTCTCATGCAGAGAGATTTCTGAATGGAAGGAAAATAAAAGAGGCAAGAATTTAGCATAAACAAATCAAAAACCTCAGTTAATAGCTAGAATTAATCATAATAAATTAATGTGTGCAGAAACAACGCTAAAAGTGTTTGTAATTTCTGCACACAAATCGTGGAAATGATAAGAAATGTTGCACAAATTTAAGCCACATTTTTTCCTTGACTTATTCTTATGCATTAAATTTGCGGTTTCGACAGAATCCATGATTCTTATGCGTAAAAAACAGATAACTGACTTTATTTTAGTCACCTAAATGTCCGTAAAACGTCTTAAAAGCAACCATTTCGAGGTTTCTAATTAGATTTCAAGTGAAGCATTAAATAATAATGTCAGAAATAGATGAAAACGACAAAGAAATGGAAGGGAAATTTGGGTTTTTCTACAATCCAACCCCACAATAACAATTCGATCGGAGTCTCGTAATCTTACACCTCATCTAACCCTCAACTTCCCCCTTAACCTTGCCCAAACGGCCCAAGCACGGGGGAGAACGGAAGCAAACATCGAGGGTGTTGAGTCAGGATTAAATGTCCCACCTGTGGCGGCCCACGCAACGCTTCATCATTGCCTTGCGATAGTGAACTTTATCGATTTGGTAATGAGACAAAAAGTATTCAAAGTCGCCTCTAAATTCAATCCAAATTTGTTCGTCTCACTGGCTTCGGGCGAAAATAGCCTGGAGATTTATTTTAAAATTGATTTATTCACTCGTGTGACCTTTCGCCGCCGTGCCAGCGCTCGGCGGAGGGGCCGAGGGGGCGGGGGGAGGCTGGGAGCGCCCTAATTAGCGAATCGATGGCACGCCAGCGCAGGGCGGGGGCGTGGGAGTTGGCGAACGCACCTGTGCCGCTGCCGCTGGGGCGCAGCGGGTTGATCTGCGGGCTGTGGTGGTAGGAGGTCTTCCGGTGGGGCTGCTTGGCCACCGCGGCGAACTCGCGACTGGCGGAGCCGCTGGTGGCGCCCGAGCTGCCCGCCGAGCTCAGCGAGTCCTGCTCCAGGTCGTCGGCGATGAGCACGCGTGCCAGGTGAACTGACTGGGGCCGCTTGCGCCCCACCTTCGGGGAGCTGTTGCGACTCTTGGGGCTGCCATGGCGCTCCTGACTCATTGCGCCGTCCAAATGGCGTGGCACTGGCGATAAACAGTGCACGGGCGCGCGCGGGCTGCTCTAATTTGGCAAAATGTCTCGGTTAAATTTGCGCGACATAATTTTTTCTGCCCACCGTCACAAATGCACGACCGCTTTTCACCTTCACACAGCGAATCAACTGTGACTGAATTGGGGTGTTGCGCTCATTTGCGAGAGCACTTCTCACCTTCGCTGACCCACGGCTTCGCCCCCCGCGCGACGCCACAGACGCTGGCAGATGAATCGATAAGTGATTTAGTGGGCAAATGCTGTTTTCATTCTTGTTGATGACATTTTTCACCAAATCGAACAAAGATGGCCGCCATCCCAAAGTCACTCCACTTGAAGCAGCTTTTCACGGCACAGCGAGCAACCTTCGGAGTCAATTGCACTCACAACGGATGCACGGACATCCTCACTCACGCCACGCAGCACTCATGGCAGGAATTTACGCGATTTGAGTGGCTTTTCACGACGAAACCGCGAAGAACACCCCAGAAAAATCCTCCCAAACACAGACACCAAACGTCACTTGGCTCCGTGCTCACTTCACTACGAACTTTCACGGCCTCGACGCGCGCCCCCTATCAGCTGTTAGACAAGTGAAGCGAAGTCCGAAATTATCCAGGGCTGCTCCAGGAGAATCCCCTTTTTCGAGAATGCAATCATATTTGATGCTTTGATGCCTTTTCTATCGCAAGACCTGTGAATACTTGATATGTTTGAATAGCTTCTAATGAAATGTTAAAATGAACAATAAATGTTTGGCGTAAACTTCTTGAATTTACTTCTTTTCTGTTGTATTATGCATTTTTGTAACGTGAAAAACATGAGGTTTTCAGTTGAAAAGATTTTTTGGAATATTCCTCAAAATGTGCAGTAATTTGGAATGTAAATTAGGCGAGGCTTAATGGCAGTTTCAGGAGTTTTAATGGATACTTTTATAAGCAGCTTTTTGTATTGTTCATCTGTTAAAATTTAGTGGCTTGTTTTGTCTCAATACCATACAAATTTTCTGGCAAATAACTGATATTTAAATTGTTTGTTTATTTATGTAAGTTCATATATTGTTGAAATAAAATAATAGTTATTTTAAAATGCAATTTTATGAACATATCATAACAATTTCATTAAATTCTTGTTTCTTTTTAGAATTCAAAATAATTGTGGTTTTTACATAGTTAGTAATAAAATTCTTAACTATTCTTTGCGTATCACACTTAATGGCTCTGCACAGTGCAGTCTAAAAATAATGATGTCTTCTTCATTAAGATTTATCGTCAATTTACACTTGATTGAGTAGAAACGAAACAAGGAGATTTTTTAGAAACTATTTAATACACCTTATTTTTACATGAAATTCTTTACATACAAAAAGTTATATACGTTATTTACTTAATGTTTGTCACAGTTTCTGTCGACTTGTCCACATCACCTGCAAAACGAGAGGTTTTTAATGAAAACAATGCACGTGAAGTAATAAGTTAATTTATTCATCACAGTCAGAAAGTAAAAGCTTACGGGATTCTTCTAATTCATCGCCGTTCGTCCTCGAAGGATTGTTCCATGGCTGAATGCTGCCGCTGCCGAAGATGACGAAGAAGGTGTTACCAACGAAATAAATGCCAGCAGCAACGAAGAACACAACTCTCCACTCCACGGGATTTGTCTGGCAATTGAGAGAGAGATTAAATTGATATCCTTTGGGGAGTATTTTGAGGGTGTTATTACAGCATCGGACACAATGAGTCCAACGAAGAGAGGCCCGAGAATGGACATGATGTTGGCAGAGAAATTGGTGATGCCCATGAGCGTTCCCGCGTAAACCGGAGACAAGTCCATGTGATTGAGCTGCACGGAGAACAATTATGCAAGATGTTATCACAGTTGGATCGAGAGATTGCGCGTTTTTTTTTTTACCATAAATCCCACGTAAGTTCCACTGTTGATTCCCACGGCGAACGTCAGCAGAAATACCGCGATTTCTGTGTGGTCCTTCGTGACGTAGCCCAATCCCACAAGGGCAAACATGGGAATGTAGAGACCGATGGAATTGAAGAGCTTCCGCGTGTTGCCCACGGATAAGTAGCCTCTGTTGATGACGTAGTCGGAAATGGGGCTCATGACGAAGCTACCCAGCCACATGACAAGGTAAGGCAGGGCAGACAAGAGAGCGTTCTTCTTGATGTCCATCTCGAGGACGTTCTTCATGTAGGTGGGAATCTCAGTGAGGAGCGTCCAGAAGCCCCAATTCTGAGCACTGTGCGCCACGATAAGAGAGATAAACGGCAGTGACGCAAAGATTCTCTTCCAGGGCGTTTGGAATTTCTGCAAGTGCACCGAAAAACCACCGATAATGTCGAGTGCAAAGTAATTGCCTCAAGTGCGCGCTCACCTTTATCTCTTCAGTGTTCGTCTCTTGACCGAGAGACTCCTGAATGAATGCCTTCTCAGTAGCTGAGATGCGTTTGTCCACTTCCGGTGAATTGCTGCCGAATGTGAAGAAGAGCGCCGTCCAGATCACTCCAATCACGCCCGAGACGTAGAAGATGCTCGGCCAGCCGAGCGAAGATGAGGCCAGCAATCCTGACACCGCCAGCATGATAACGTTGCCCAGCGGCGAGCCTGCGTAGACAAAGGTGCCTAATCTCGATCTCTCCGATGGCGGCACCCATTGCGCCAGAAGTGTGTGCACGCAGGGGAAGATGAAGCCTTGGCTCACGCCAAGCAATATTCGCAAACCGACGACAGCCTGAAAATTTTCCATACGATTGACAAGGAAGATTAGATACAGGGCAATAGAAAACATTGTTCCCTCTTGAGGAAATCTAGATATAAGTCAATATAGGTTTCAAATCAACAAGCTTCCGTAACAAGTTTGAAGTTTGTTGAATAACTGATATCAAAGCTCTATTTCATTAATCCTGATAAGATCAAATCTTTACGCAGGAAATACAGAGATAGTGGGAGGAGCATATCAATAGGCGGGGCCTCTAAGAATCTTTACTGCTCAATGAAGGTTCTGAATTAAATGATTTCTCATATATGTATGATAAAACAATACCGAGTCTAAATATTCTATTGCTCCAAGAACTGAAAAGATTAATTATCTCTTCTACTTAGACACTCTTCTCTTCTTTTCGCAAATTAAAAGATATTTGTCTGTTTTGAAAGGCATCTGAAGATACAAATGATAAGCATTTTGATTAACAAAAAGACTTTAATTAAATTATCTCATTGTGAATTCAGTCATACTTACACTCCAACCGCCAACGCTGGCCATCACTGGCGTCAGAAGGGTTAGAATGGCACAGATTCCCATGCTGACTGTGAGCAGAATTTTGGCACCGAATTTTCGCGCCCAAGTTCCAGCCGGAAGTTGAATCAAAACGTAGCCCCAGAAGAAACTCGATAGTATCAGCGATTGTGTTTGCTCGTTCCAATCGTATTCCTATACGTGCAAAAAACTCAAGCTCTTGAACATGTTCTCAAGGATGCACAGCGATTCGTACCTCAAAATCGGGATTTGCGCTGGTATTGTCCACCATTGCCACGATGCCCACCGACATGTTGACACGGAGAGCGTAGCCGACGAGAAGAAGGAGGAAAAGTAAGCCTGATTGGTAGTGTCGAACGCCCAGAGCTGTGATTTTCCATAATGAGATTACAAGAGTGGAGACAAAGAGAGATTGTATCGCATGAGCAAATGTTTTAAATATTTCTGCAGTGGAAAATGCGTGTGCCACAAACCGAATTTGAATATTCCATCTGAGCTTCTCGCAGCATTGCTCTTCTGCTGATGTTCCACCTCTTGATCACTGTGTTCCTTCATGATGGTTTATGTGAAATTGAAGAGCGTGATCGAATTTCTATTCAGAATTCACACTATTTACATTTATCACTGTTGGTACAATTCATTAAGTGGGTCGTCAGTGAAAGATTATTGTTGTGGAAGTTTATTGGCCCGATATTTGATTTACAGGTACTCTAAATCACTTGAAGTAATCCACAGTAGACATTATCATCCGCTCAAATTGCACTCGAAAGTCGACGTCTATAGGAAAATCACGTCAATGTGGATTACAAAGTTTACTTATTGATTAATGGGCGAATAAAAATATTTTTATATCGAGTGATTGACCTTCAAAAAGATCTCTCAGCTCTCAACTACACACTGGCTGGGCAAGACTCTCGGCAAGACTTATGAGTATGGAATGAGCGCTGAAGTGAAAGTACGTTTGCTATTTTATAGTCACTCTTCGCGACTTGCAGTTAGAAAAAAATGCATACGTAAGCAAAGTGGCACTAACTATTTACAACTATTTTGCACACCTCCTTTATTAGTTCTTTGAATCACACACCAATTTTATATCACGCCGCAAACTGCCATTGGTTTAGGGATGCTTTCGCGGAATTTACCTGGAAACACCTTTATTCACTGCCCGATGACAGTCAACTGTTTACCGAGTCTCATTGGAAATGTATATGGCACTTTGTCGTGAGGTGATCGCTTCATTTGTGCCTGAACAGGTGGGAGCACTTTGGAGGGGAATGCCGGTTTCCCTCTCACACCACCAGATCCGTTTAATTGTGTATTCGTGTACTAAACGTGCGACAACATCTCAGATTTATCGCTCCGTGCGCTTCTATTGCAACAGTGATAAGGTTATTGGAATAATTAATAAGACAAATATTACTGCTTTGGCAAATATTTTTTGTATAAATTGCGTGGAAAAAAGCAGAATTTTATCTCCACCTTGAGGAAATAACGAATTTCTGTTTCGACGCACAAGTTTTAGCCTTTGAGTAGGCAAAAGTGCTTCAAACGTGCTTTTGGTTTTGAGCTTTTTAGTTTTCCAATCTTTCACAATTAGTTCAACTTCCAGATTGAGAATTTGAAGTATTTTTTCCCTTGATCGTTTCAACAAAAATATTTCATTAGGAAAAAAACATTTTGATTTTCACCACTTTAATAACTTTATTAACCTCATTTGTACAAATTACACAAATTACCATAAAATTCAGAGACATATTCGTGGATGAAAAATTTGTAGAGCGACGCATAAAACAGTGCCAAGAAAATATAGTCTCCAATTTGAATCAGGCGAAATCTTCTTCTGGCATAGGGAAGATTGTCGTCGCTTTGCTTGAGCAAATATCGCCTATTTCCTATCGCGCACAGGAAGAGATATCGTTCCGGTGGATATTCAGGATAGTAGTCGAATAGAAACTCCTCCTGATCTTCCTTTGTAACATATTTGGCCAATGAGAAGCATTTTGAATTGTTGAAATTCCACGTGTTGCAGAGATAGAACTGCAATTTGCACGTCGCGTAGGCAATTGTGCGCATAACTGGAAGAAGTCTTCTCTTCCTTCTCAGGATCATTGCAAGGAAATCAAGCATCAAAACGGGCAGAAAATGCATGAGGATAGTCAGAACTTTGAACAGAATTATCGAATCTGTGAGAATCGCTCGAGATACCCAGATTGCCTGGTCAACTGGCCAGACAGCCAGAACGCCCATTGCGTACTTCATCAAATCCCGGATGCTCATGGCCATTTCCAATCCCGCGGCGCAGTTGTAGACCTCCACTTTCGGCAATCGCTTGTGTCTTTCGTACTTCATGCCGTGAACGTACGAAGTGACTATCAAGGATCTTACAACGATGTCCAGCGGAGTGTAGTCGCACAATGTTGACTTTCTGCCGATGGCAACATGCGTAATTCCGAGACTGCCCGGAAGAGTATAGGCGATGGGACCGTTGATAAAATCATGCCTGAGTTACGCAGAAAACAGGAGATTATAGAAATAGAAAAGAAGAAAACGCGAAAGTTATTTACCATCCAGGAAAAGGTTCTCTCAAAGACGGTGTCACAATAGACGGCCGAAATATGACGACAGGAAGCTTATCCTTGTACGATTCGATGAGTTGCTCAGCTAATCCCTTCGTAAAGGTGTAAGAATTAGGGAAGAAATCCATGTAAAACGGTGCCACGATTTCCATTTCTTCCTTATCCACATTTTCAGCAATCCTTATTGACTCCTTCCAGTCAGCTTTCATCGGATAAAGCTTCTCCTCAACATCGAACAGGTCAGGACGAATGCAGTAAGTTGTCGAAATGTGCACAAACACACACAATTTCTTCAGGTTTTTTGCAAACTCTAACACTTCTCGCGTTCCTCTGGTATTCAACAAGATTGCATCTTGCAGAGGATCATCAAATCGAATGCTGGCCGCAGCGTGAAACACCACTGAAACATTTCCCATCAATTCCTTGTCATCATCACTCAGTCCTAAGTTCAATTCCTTGCAATCGCCATTAATTGCCACGAGTTTCTTCAGTAAATTCTCATCCTTTTCACGAATACGCTTGAAGATTGGGTCAGATGTGAACTTTGCCAAGCGCTCGTGAATGCTGATGCCCTTCTTTGGCCGAATCAGCATGAAAATCTTCCCCACGTGCGGACACGAGTAGAAAAGTTTCTCAATGAGCGCCTTGCCAACTGTTCCCGTGCCGCCGGTTAAAAACACCTCGCGATCGCGAAAGAATTCACTGATCCTCACGTCAAACGACTCAAATGCACTGTAATCCATTTTCGGGGGAAATTATTGCTATTTTCACACAATTCACTGACGAACTGGCTAAACGGTGCTGATTGCAGGCCTTTTAAACTTACATCTTTGAATTAATTTGCGTATAATTGGTGTTGTCCATGAATCTAATTATAAATTTGTCATGTCATAACTTGAACGGTGAAGTGAAGTTGATGAGGTGAATCCATTAGAGTGCAGAGACATTGAATTTAATCAGTTGTAATTGGTTTTATATTTTCCTTTCGTTCCGCAACACTTTGTTTCGTGGTATACAAAACAGTACTAAAGCTTACAAATATCAAAAATACTGTTCTTTCGTTACAACGACAATCTATCTAAACATCACTCTATAGTTTAACTTATCACAAAATATATAATTTAACATTACTTTGATTTGTTGTTTACTCTTGAGGTATTTTTCTTTTACAAATTTCAATTTCTTTTCTTTAGCTACTTAAGTGTTTAATTGTTATAAAAACTAACTGCGAATCAACGCATTTTCATAATATCACTTCTAAATTGAATCTAAACTGGTAATTACTGAATAAGCATTCCTTCAAAGGCATTCTCACGAAGGCAACAACTTATCTTTCTCCACTGAAATGATCGGTGGTTTTGTATTGTTAAGGTTGGTGTCGTAATTTGGTAAGGCCGAAGCGCCTTTCTTCGTCTTCAGTGTCTGAATTCTGCCTGAGAAGTAGTCCTCAATCTCCTGAAGACTCTTTCCTTTCGTCTCGGGGAGACACTTGTAGAAGAATATGCATCCTAACAATTGAGATGAAGTGGCTTTAGTCAATTTCTTCGCAAGGCTCATAAAAGTTTACTCACCTAGAAGAGATATACAGCCGTACAGCATGAAAGTGCCGTGTTGATAAAGTACAGATGACAGAAACGGATAAGTCTTTACGACTATGAAGACAAACACGTGAGCTGAGCAAGTTGTCATGCCGCCAATGATTCCGCGAACTTTCTGCGGATACAGCTCGCCAATCATCACCCACGGTACAACGAGGAAGCCAAGAGTGCATGTGATGGTGAAAACGAAGATGCATGCGACTGGGAACCAAGTATTGACAGGCTCAATTGGCGGCTCCGAATGATCCCACTGATATTTGTAGTATAAATAAACTCCAAGACCGATCATGCTCACGCCACAGCCAATTCCTGTTGAGAAAATAAAAAAAAAACACATAAGATAATCTTCAAGAGCAATTAATCGCCAATAAACTCACCGGAAATGAATGTGAGTGGACGTCGTCCGCATTTTCTCAGTGCAATGCATGCAATGATCGTGAAAACCAGCCGAACAACGCCGAGAATAATGGTGCACATGTTCTTGTCCATCTTCGTGCCCGAATCCTGGAAGATTTCCACCGCGTAGAATGTGATTGTGTTCACGCCGCTGAATTGATACATCATGAAGTACAGAACCAGAATGCCAAACGGTTTCAGTGCTGATGGACTCATGATGGCGGCCAGAGTTTCTTTCGGCGTCATCTTGACATTCGTGTGGTTTTTATTGGCAAAACTCTGCAATTGACCCACTTCGCGCTCGACATCATACGTGGAACCGCGCAATTTAGCCAAACTCTTGGTCGCTTTGTCCGGCTTTTGCTTCACAATCAGGAAGTTCGGCGTCTCTGGCATGAAGATCATGAGCCCGAGTGCCGTGATTGGCACAACAGTTGAGATTCCCGCCAGGATTTGCCATGTGACAAACGATCCGAGTGTGTACTGAATCAGCACGCCCAAACTGATGCCGATGGACGCCAGGGCGGTCAGCATTCCCCTCAAGTGGGGCTGCGTGACTTCGGACGTGTAAACCCGAGCCGGAGCTCCGACCATTCCGCTGCCCAGGCCAACCAGAAGTCTCCCAATGTAGATCATGTAGATGTTCGTTGCGAAGGCGATTAGCAGCCATCCGAGTATTAAAGGCACTTCTGTCACGATGAGAGTCTTCTTCCTTCCCCAATTGTCCATCAGATATCCACTCAAAATGCATCCTATTGGCGTGCTGGCAGACGATAGAGAAGCTGAAAGCATGAAGACAAGAAATGAAACATCTGAGAAAGCCTACACATTCAACTGACAAAATACAGGAATGTAAATAAGGAACAAGATTGTCAAAATGAAAGTCATAACAATAATTTTGTGTGAAATCTCTTGGTTTTTTCTACGATAAACAGCTAAATTATTGTCTTCCGGCAATTTTCAAGGAAAAGTCTTTCGTCCACTTATTCTCAGACAAAGCTCTTACAACTTTGCTCAATACGCTATCGTGAGAAAGTCATTTGTCATTCTAAGCCATTTGAAACTTTAATTTCTTTCGTTGAACGTTACAATCTTGCTGAATGTAATAATGCAATATTTATCTCAATCAACTTGCAAGTTTGTAACTATAATTAATGTTGGTGCGCTAATGTGATTTTGGCAAAGCTCTGATCCCTTTTGCCAACATGAAATGTGGGTTGAACAGACTAACAATGCAGACGATATTCCATAAGGAGAACTTCTGGCAGCACATGATTTCGCAGATTACACGCGAGTGCTCTACATATCAATCAACATCTGTATCTACACAAGTGGATATGGCAGACAAGTGGGGTAAGGTTAAAAATTAGATCTGTTTATTGTGGAAAGAAGAGAGGAAAAATTCGCGAAAATAGCATGATTGGGAGTGAAATTGTAATGATAAAGTCGGGTATTCTCATATATTCATTCTAAATGGGAGCATGTAAACACACTTCGCGTGGCGGTTTTCGGCGCATCCCCTTTAGTCTTCACAACTTTGGCGCCCGTCCAAAAACTCCGCGATGACACACAGTGCGAGTAAAGTTCACAGCAAAACTCTCCCGTGACAAATCATCACGAAGAGAGCGCGCGTCTCAAAATATTTACTGCACTTTTGTTGATATTGTTAAATCTCAAACTGATGCTAAGAAGTTTTTGAACAACATGCGTTCTTTATTTGTAAAATACGTGGAAATGAGTTTATTTGTTGTTTTTTTCCTCGCCGAGAAATCCGCGTGAAAAATATCAGTGGTGAGAAGCAAAGGATTATACATTGGCTGTTCAACATTGTTCAGATATCACGCTTTAATCTTGTGATGCTTTATTTACGCGCGTAGCCCAAGTGAATGTTCCAATTTTGATTGCCATCTTATATGACTTTCCTGATAACGCAATCGGTCTTTGTTTTTTTCTCCTTTATCACAAATGCTATTTGATGCTTCACTCTCGATTTTCAGAGCTTTATCAGAGACACAACAAGAGCAGAAAGTCCGAGTCATAAATAAAAATCACCACTTTAATATGACAATTTACCCAATTTACGATTTTAATTACTACCTTTATCACAGAGAATTATCAATTCTTCGCGCTGATATCTTATAAAGTGAGATTTACCGAACTGATAAAGGCACAAAACACTCAACGCCAGATCACTTGTACAATTAGTGGAATTCCACCTCTAATGGCGTGTTAATGGTAATCTTGAGCAATCACAATTTGTTTTTACAGCAGTTTGATATGCTCTGTATCAGCTGCAAAGGTGTCCCCAGTTGCTGATACAATCGCGATGGCTGTAAGACAAGTGAATTTCCTCCTAATCAAGTGAAAATCTCACTTGGAGATCAACACTTTGCGAAATTCATTATCACTCTTCATTTTCTGTTTTTCGCCCCCCCAAAACGTCCTCGCGCACTTTATGATGCACACAATGGTGACCATGGACTTGACAACAGATGACTTACTTATGTGAATTCGATACTCACCAACCCAGGAAGCTTGACTCTCGTCAATTGGCAATATAGAATCCGGCGCCTTGAGTTGCGGTATGACAACAGCACTGAATCCAAACGCGAATCCTGTGTTGATTGTGCCAATATTGCCTACAAAGGCTGCCAGAATTTGTCTCATTGGCTTCCCTCTGTCCTGCTTTGTCTGTGACTCCGCCGCCGAGGCATTTCCATTTGTGTATCCATTCTTTGTGACCACAATATTGGCCGATTTGTCATTGTTTACCAATGCTGAGGTCTCCTGCCTAGAAAGTCCAATTAACTCTATTAAAATCATCAATTAATTCCCCAGCAGAAGCCCTTGACGTCAATGTATTCGTTACGACCGCATTTCACTCCGCTGGGGAGATAATGTGTCTTATCAATTTTCGTACGAATACACGCCAAACGACGTGATGATGATTTAATTTCTTTATGGGAGGCGCGCGCAAGTGTGCGAACATTGAGATCAATCACCAGAAGCATATGTGCAATATTATGCGTCGAGAGGCATCAAAGGAGTCAATTATGCAACTCTCAATCAGACTATCTGGCAACTTGCCCCACTGCCCCACAATTCATCTGAATATATTTTCAATTTCACTTCACGAACTACCTTCGTGTGTTTACTTGTGAAGTCACATGTACAGAAGTCTTATCACTAGACAAGCTGTCGCATGAAAATGCGAAGAAGAAAAGTGCCTCGTCGATCACAAAAATACAAGACAATCACTATTGATTGCCCAATGCAAAAGCACACGAGCTTCGAAGCTATTGTTTATCTGCACACACTGCCTATATATAGAGGCAAATTGGCCCACGACAAGGATATTTATTTTTACATCCAACCGCTTAGCACTGCCGAAGATTGTGAATTAAGCATCTCATTATCTCGCCACAATGTGAAGAGGAAAATTTTGCAAATACGAAATATCGAAATAATAAATCACTTTCCTCTCAGGCTGAACAATAATGCGAAGATAGAAAAAGAGCACACAGTCTATTTGATGGCATTCACCATTTGAACAATGATTAAGACGCAGAGCGATTTAGTATCAGGGGAAAAAGTGCCACAAATACTGATAACACGCTCTCAATTCAATACAACACTCCAATAGAGAAATAGAGCATTTTATGGATTTCCCTTTTTCCGCAGCATGTCAAGTTATTTTACTGTCTCTTCTCCCATAAAGAAACTTATCGTGACACGTAGGAAATATTTCAATTGCTTTATGAACACTTACCCAGTCATGGTAGAGTATCTTTTTTTCTATAAAGGATTTGAGCCTTTGTGTGTTTATTTTAAGGGGGGAGAAGATTGAGGAATTTATATGTTTATCTTGTTTTGTTGTTCCGCTTGTATCACAGTAGTTTTCCTATCGCAAATTCATGAGTTTTTCACTCTTAAACGTCTCTGCTCAGCTTGTGCATATTATTTATATGTGATTTATTTTGGGCAAATGTGACTCGACGCACATCAACTCACGGAGTGTCTTTTACGGTTTGTTTGTGCATTCTAGTGAAATGCATGTAAATTTAGCCAGTCGAGCTCCAAAGGTAAGCTCGAAGAGGTGCACATTTGACTACGCTTTCCCACCACAAATCGCAATGCACAACTCGAGGGTGTTCCTGTCGATATGTGTGAAGGACGCAGGACTTTTTCGCACTACAGTTCGCTTTACCGGCCCATCGAACGGTCAACGACTAACTGAATGTCTCGGGCTGCAGAAGAGATTATAAATATGAAGAGAGACGAGCGCCAGAAACGAGTGCTTATTACGACCACAATCACCAGCTGACACTGCCAACACGCTCTTGTGCTGATAAAGGTTGTAAATTCAGTGTAAGGAAAAACATGTCGTTTATTCTAGACACACTAATTGGTTATCACACATATTGACTCTAAATCGAGTGGCCACTCGTCGGTGTATTGTAATCTGCTAACTTGGTTATGGGATGATCCATAATTTGAAATTAATATTTGGTCACGCGTGCGATTTCGAGGAAGTTGGATACAGAATCGCCAGAAAACAACTCGCTTACATCAAGAGATCACGTCAGTCTGGCTGATAGGAAAACCCGTCAAAGGGGAGTGAAAGTCCTGAGAATGCGTGTTCATAAATAAATCCAACAGACACTGGGGAAAGGCGAAGCTTCTCGGGCAGCAGCACGATTTTATTCCTTTTCCTGCAAAATTGTACCTTTTCAGCAGAATTACAATACACAAGTCTTATCGTCTTGCTTCAGAGATATTATTTGAATTTCATTTTCTTAGGTCTTATTGGAAAATTTTACAGTCAAAACTATTTGTCTGTGTGAAAGCAAATAAAACAGTAAAAGGGAAAATATAAATATTTTTTCGAAAAATAAGCAATGAACGCATATTTGATTTTACTAATAAAAAATTCTATTTATTTATTTCAATGGCGTTTATTTATTTCTTCAGTAAAATTTTGGACATAAGAAAGGGGATTTTTAAGTAAGAAATTGCCCCCATCTTTCGCTATATATATTTTATTTAAATTTGATAATGAAAAGTCACGGGAAATTTTTGTAAAATACGCATATTCATTATGCGGATGTTTTGGTTTATTCCTTCAATATACTCTTTATGGTTTCCTTGTTTCACATTTCGTCAGAAGTACAATCACTGCACGTGACTGTGAAGAATTTCTGTCATACACTTTGACATTTTACAGTATTATTAAAATAATGACTTGTGATAACTCAGATCATGTGCTTCATATTGTCCTGCTGATATAATAATCGCGAGAATTTTTACATCTCTCCTCTTCCTCAAATGTGGTAGTCTTATTTGAGAGACGTTATTTCTGAGTTTTTAATTAAACAAATGAATTTACATCGTAGTTTCATACGTAAAATAGCTGTAGCATGATTGATGGGCACCTGAGAGAGCTGCGCGATGCGAAACTACGACTATGACCTTTACTGCTGAGCCTATAGATGTGCTTAGAGCAATGAGCTTTTATCACAGTAAAAATAACGTCGATAAGCATACGATTATTGGCTATTAAGAGTTGAGGGCCGCCCTGGATTGTGAACCACGGATAGGAGACCGAAGGCCGTGTCATCGAGATTGATTATCTCGAGCCATTGATTAAAAGTGTACCAAAAGCGATCAAGACTCGTTCTTCTTTTATCAGCAAAGCCAACAAAGTTGTCAGCGTGTGGGCAAATATTCTGAAAAACAATTTGTTTACTGAGCTAATTCTATCCACATGATGCATGTTTTTTGATCCAATATCTCCAGAGAGAGAGAGAATCTTTCTCTGTTTTACTCAAATACCGAGAACCTAATTTGCCAGTTAAATATTGACATATGAATTGTAACTGCCGATTTTTCATAAACACCAGGCTTTTTCATGCTAAATATTTGCCACTAATATTAGATATTGACAGGACTCATAGCAATGTTTTCTGGCATTGTTGTTAACTGTTCGAAGTATGTCTCATCAAAGGAGAGCCACTGCAAGACCGCGCGCGCGTACTGATTTGGAATGAATACAAATGCATTTCAACACTTGATGGAACCAGATCGAGATCATCAATTGACCCGTTTATTGATTTAATCAACGGCCAGTATCAATAAGATGTAATATTCAATTTACAAATTGATATCCAATTGGGAATGCATCTTGTGGAATTGAGTTTATTTACTCGCACATTATTATCACTTCAGCTTGAAGATGTAATTCATGAGAGCAAATATTAGGCATGTCTATTTTCGAGAGACATCAGCTTGTCCGTAATGAATGTAATCGACTCTTATAAAGCAGCTGCAGTAATTACTGTCCTTGTGAGTCGATTCAGATCCACGAGCTGATTATGCCAATTAATCGAAGAAGTTGCTTGTTCGATAGACAGTTTGTAAAAATTGTGGTCAACCATTAGATATGACAGGAAAGATCAACGCCTTAAGAGTAAATAAGAAAACCGAAGAATTGAAGAAGAGGTTTCTTCTTGACAGTACATAAGCAATATTTTATATATAATGCTTGAATAAACATCAGCTGATAACCATGTGCATGTGACTCGTGCTCCATATGACCACTTTATTGCCTTCTATTAATAAACTCCGCTATTCCATTAAAAAGAGTTGGGAAATTTAGAGGATCTTTACTTATTTTTAGTGTGTAAATTTAGATAAACCAGATTTGCGCACCTGACAATTTATAAATAAATATAGTTTTCATTAGAACACATAATATTTTATTATGTTGAATGTAAACAATTGATTCAACAACTTTTATTCTACGATTTATTGACCGCCGATGCACTACGAAATTGACCAAATTAGTCATCAAGTTTTCGTAGTGTAGTGGTTATCACGTGTGCTTCACACGCACAAGGCCCCCGGTTCGATCCCGGGCGAAAACAGTCTCTTTTGCTTTTTCTGCGTTGCTTTCACCTTTTGAAAAACTCCCATTCATAATATTTATCAATACTTCATCTGCGAAATTCAGCAGAACACATCTTACTACTATTTTTTTGCTGTAACGAAAATTTATACTCAAAAGAAAGTTTTCGCTTGAGTTTCAGCTGTCGCTTCTCAGGCGGCGCTAGGATCATGTGAGACGCCATTGCCGTCAGAGTTAAAACAGCAACGCAGAGTCACAGATTTGGTTGATAAAATAGTTCGGTTTCAATGAGTTTGTTTTGAAATTAAACATTGGCTGATCAATGAAATCTGCTAAGACTTACCGCGGGAGTGGCAATAGGGCCAAGAATGTGCCCAAGGAGGCTCTCTGTCGGCTGTGCTTGACCACAAGTAGTGACTGTCAAATGACAGATATTTTTGCTGCTGATGGCAAAACATCGCTGTGCGTCCGGATCATGGCTTGCACATCTCTGGAGGTAAAGTAGCATTGTTTCTGATAGGCCATCATCTTCAGCTTACTGTGTTATTATTTTTGCCGGTTAGATCACTTCAGAGGACGCCTTACCGAGAAAAATATGCGCGTCTTGCAGTGAATTGCTGAGTTTGTTTTACGCTGTGAGTTTTCTTTGTGGCTTTTCTTGCATATCCGGATCTTATGTTATTGATATTGTTGTTTTTGCTTCAGTTTCGAAGGAAGTGCAAAAGCTCTGATGCCAAGTATCGAAGATTCTTGCGGCTGGAGAATGCTGGGAAAGTGAAGAGCATCGATGATCTGTCTGATGATGAGGAGGACGAAGAATACTCAAAAGCACTGGAAGAGTTCAATGACCGGCAGAAACATGCCTTGGATGAGAATTTGAAAATTGCCAAAGAGGAAATGACGAGAAACTATGATGAGGAAATGAAGAATCTCTTGCAAGAGGAGAAGTTGAGAATCTACCGTGAGGAGAAGCAGAAAATCCAGGAAACTGCCATGAGACAAATTGTCTCAACACTCAGGCAGAAGGAGAAGGATGAGAAGAAAGTGGCTGAAATGTCGGAGAGTAAAGGAAAAGTCTACAGAATCTCAAAGAAGCCCACAGAGGTGAAGGATGAAATGGAAGTTGAGATTATCATGCAGAGCAGCCTGAAGGAGGATTCTTGCCAATCTGACGAGGACTACACAGTTTCTGTACTATCCGAGGGAGAGTACGAGGAGTCGAGAGAGCCAGAAGAATCCCCTGTGGAGAATACAGTTGAGGAGAAAGAGGAGGACAATGAGGTGATGGAGATTCTCTACACCGATGATATAACTAAAGAAGATGAACTTGATGAGGGTGAGGAGTTTGAGTATCTCGAGGAAAGAGAGGACGACGAGAGTCTTGCAATGGAGCCTGTTGACAATGAGGAAGCACAAATTGAGGAATCCAGCGGATCACAGACGAGAGATTCCAAGCAGACACAAAATATAGAGCTGGAGATTGACGATGAGAAGTACATTTATCTGGAATTGGAGGAAGAGGCAGAAGTGGAGAAGACGGTACACAGAAATTAATTTAATGCAATTTCGCGGTTTAATTGCATGCATTTTCAGACCAAATACTGCGATGAGAAAGGAGATCTGCTCATTTTTAGCTGCTCAATGTGCCCAAAGACGTTCTCGCGTGAGAAATCCCTGAAGAATCACGAGATGTCTCACAGACAGCGCAAAGGATTCTCCTGCACCTTCTGCGAGAAGTGGTTTCCCAGCAACAGCAGTCGGATGAGGCACGAAAGGATCCACACAGGTGAGTAAAAAAAAGCTCTGCATTCGGCAAAAAAGAGACTGTTTTCGCCCGGGATCGAACCGGGGGCCTTGTGCGTGTGAAGCACACGTGATAACCACTACACTACGAAAACTTGAAAGCTTACCATGATTAAGATCATTCACGCAGTTTTTGCTCTTCTTCTCTGAATTTGAATTGAATTTTGTGAACTTTAGGTGAGAAGCCTTTCATGTGCAACATTTGCGGCAGGAAGTTCGTCCAGAAGGAGATCCTCAAGCGACACGTGGTTGTACATTCCGGTGACAAACCCTTCAAATGTCACCACTGCGACAAGCAATTCACACAAAAGGAAATCCTGCGGCAGCACATCAATAGAAAACACACAGAAAATCCTGTTGTTGAGCTGCACAAATGCTTCCTTTGTCCAAAGGTTTGTTAGTCACTCGTTGAAGTGGGGAAGAGTGTAAATAATCACAGGCATTTTGCAGTCCTTCTACCACGCTTCTGGATTGAGTCGTCATCTGCTTGTTCACGCTGGCAGAACTTTTCCCTGCGAGACGTGCGGAAAGGAGTTCGTGGACAAGAGTGCCCTGAAGCGACACATCGGTACAATTCACAAAGAATTGCCAGCATAGATAATCTCACTACCTCCAAAGCACAATAAAGATTTCTTACAAGAATAAATTTGCTTTAATCTACTGATAACTTATAGTTGAGCTGAGTTGAAGAAGTGACATTTTGGCTGTTATTATTCTCCCCAGAGACAGTCATTAATTGGCATAGAACTGGTGAAATTTCTTGAGGTTTCGCCTCATTCACGGTTGGCCATAATTAAGGCAATTAGTTGAAAGTTTCAGAAAATTATCTGCTTCCCTTCTTCGGGTCTTCCGCCTTCTCTCATATTCTTAATTCGAAAGCCATTTCAAATTGTATTTGACGCTATATTTCGCCCTCCCTTGGCAATTTCAACCCTTTCTCACAATATTTGCCCAATGAAGAGAGCATGAGCATTCCTTAATGGCCATTATTATTATTCATGAGGGAAATTTCTTATGTAGACAATAAGGTTTTTGCACACCTTTTTCTCTTCCACTCTTTCGCTCCAGGAAGTGTGCTTTCATACTTTTGATTAATATACAGCACTAGACATTTAGATGTCCTGTAATCTTCACTTTGTGGTCCACTGTGGAAGTAAGAAAAGTTTTAGAATGGAGATGTAAATAAACTTTAGTTCATTAACAACGAAAAAAAAATCTAATCTCTCAAATGCCTTTTCTCTATGTCTATAATTTAGGGAAGAAAATGAACCCGTAAAAAGCGAATTAGGGTGACTCGTTGTAAATCCATTCTCACAAGGCCAATACCTACATAGTATGTGAGTTATGTGTATAGAATCCGTCTGGAATTCAATAAACATCCTATATAAGGGGAGAATATGCGCGCTCGGGGGCACAGTCATTCATTATTTTCATGTTTAATTAAATTTCCGTTTTAATGATAACAATTTTTTATCGCAACTCTCCAGCTTATTTTTTCTACGCGAGGAATGCGAGCTTTCAGTGGCTGGTCATGACAAGTACAAACTGTAAGTCTACTTCGCGTGTGTGTGCACGAAATCGCAAGTTATATTAAGTAATTTAAACAGATGACATATTATTATGTTGGCGCTCTCACATCATGTTCTTTGCGGACATTATGATAATGTATGCGATATGAAAATTCAGTCTAATGTGCTTTTTCTCAACTGTGAGTGTTGGTGATTTTAATTTATTTCACCGCAAAAGTTCTGCAAAGGGCCTTTTATGTTATATTATGGTACTACTTTACACACATTCTGAATAGGATAAGCTTCTTTTGAGATTTGTTTGGATTTTTTGCCTTTGCAGTTAATGAGAAGACAATACAAATATAAGCGTCTTTTCACTTTCGTTCAATCTGATTAACAAACAAGATAAATCTGCATAAATGATCCCAACTTTTATGTTCAAAAGTTATTAAAGATAATGCGTGGAAGATATCAGATTCTCCTAAGTGTTTTAAATAATTTATGGGATCTGCCATGGAAGCATTTCTATGCAGAACAAGTGATATGTGGGATTTGTCTTGGCGTATTTTAATTATTCCTGCGACTGTGACATTGTGTGCTCTTGAACAGGTGGATGGCATTTGTCTATAAATTGCAAATTGAGTATTTGGAGACACCTACATTCCACATTGTCTCTGACGCAGATTCGCTTGTTTTTTCACGTTTTCTCCTACCTCCTTGTATAATTAGAACCTGTTGAGAGTGAAAAATGTGACCACCACATGTGAATTTCGGCTCATTTCACAGAGATTAGTCGAAATGCCGCAGATAAAATCATATGGTTCTCAAGCTTTATTTATACCAATGAGCGTGTGTGTGTGCGTGGGTCTAGCCAGAGATCTGAGGAGGAATTTTCATCAGTTTTGTGAAAACCTCGCGCCTCGAGAGTGTCTCTTTTCATTTGCATTTCGAATGTAAGGAAGAAAAAAGTGCGATTTCTCTTCTGTGAATGGGCGGGATTTCGTGGATGGGGGAAAATCTGGATGACTTTGAGTGGAAAATTAATTGGAAAGTGTAGATATGTACAGTGCGGGAGGAATCTTAAAAATTGAAAACTTTCCACGGTGTACAACTTCTCCGTGAATACTTTGGGCGGAAGTCATTGGGTGGAAAATTGTTAGAAGGGGTGGAAAGAGTGTGCGCGCCTTACGTGGAAAACCGGAGGAACTCTTTGGGGTTTTTCAAATTGGTGGTTGCGCGGATAAAGTGAATTAATTAACACACTTTCACTTTGTTGGGCATCTTTTCTCGCCGCTCTCCCGACACTTGTTGTATTGCAATGTGTGCCATTGTATGAAAATGTCGATGTAATTTTAGATTTGAATGTATGTCGTGAAATTTGCCGGAGATGTTGATATTAAAAATAGCCAAATTCCTCCGTCGGTGATAAGAGAAAATAGAGTTGAAGTGTGAGTCATGTCTGATATTAGCGCCATTCAGGCGGTGAATTGGGACAATTTTCGCACACGGCGCTCGTCTTGCCATTTACTTTAGAGATTATGAAGGAAAAATTTCAATGCTCACGAGAGAATTGGAGTTTTTCTGCTCGTGCTTGTCTTTCTGCAAAAATAAAGATTGGCCTGACGCCAAGGTCAGAGAGGAGTTTGAAATGTTTGAAAATGTACACAAATATAGGCGAGAAAATGTAAACACATCTGCAAAAGTCGATTTGAGGCATCTTCGCCAGTGTGCAATCCCACTGAGTTCCTCCATTGAGAGAGCATAAATATTTCATCAGACACACTATTGCACTCCACAGATTATATCGCCCAGTCATTTCATACTATGCAGCATTATGAGGATGTAAACAGAAAGTGAATTAACTTCCACACAGGCGTATAGTGAAAATAATTGCAGTAGAACAGAATTTTGCGGCATTTCGACTCACACGAGAGTTTCTCCCCCTAAAATCACAGCGCTTTGGAGCGCTGCCAGAAGTCATATAGTGTGAAAGATGAACTCAAATAAATAATTATAAGCATAAATACACATTCGAGCAAACGAATTACTCGCAAATTAATGCAGAGCCAAGTGGATGTGAGTGCGCGCTGACGGAAGGAAGTATTGACATTGCCAGCATGTCTTCGGCAACCGCGATGTCGTGGAGCAAGTGGAATGGCGAGGAGAACAGTCTGATTAAGCTGCGCCTCAATAAGCCCCAAACGTGGAACTGGCAATTGACCACGTCGAGATCGTCGCCAAACATTGCATTTCCGCGCATTCAGCTCTTCGACCAGAATGGCCAACTTCTGGCGGACGCGAGCGAAGCTGATTGTGTCCTCGGGAGCAAAGTGCCCAGCAGACGTCCGTCGAGTGCCAGGACAAAGTTACCGGAAGCAATTGCGGAGTCCAAATTGGAGGACTCACCCAGTGACACACAATCATACAACAATCTTGTGCACTGCGACTCGCTCAAGATATCGCATGTGCGCTCAAAGAGTCTGCACGAGGGGAGAACACGTCACAGGAGCAAGCATGAGGATGAGGAGCCCGAAAAGTTTCTCAGCTCGCTCGTGAGCCAACTGAAAAGGGATGGAATCAATTACAAGATCAGACGACGGAACAGCTATGACGTGAATACCAAGTTGATGTGTGAGGACGGCTATGATGAGAGGCAGGAGAAATGCGGGAAATCAATAAGTTGTAGCGATTTAGAGAAATCGGAAGCTGTGGCAAATTGTTGTGTAGCAGATGGCGGCGGGGAGCGAATGAATTATGCGATAGTAAAAAGTAAGAGCGCCGTAACGATGCAATTAGACGGCGGAGCGTCGGAGAGCAGGGAGAAGAGGAGGTACCGGCGAACGAATAGTGTGAACTCGTTGAGGTTCTCCAAATCCATCCTCGAGAGAATTAGTGAGTTCAAGAGGCGCTCCTCCTCCACAGACAGTCAAGAATTCAATGAGGACGCGGAGGAAGACGATGAGAATAGCGAGAGAGATAAGCCAAAGTATTTCCTTCGCACCAGCAAAGCCGGGACGCTTTTGGTGTGTGAGGAGAGCTTTCGCCATCGCCGTGTGCGGAGACGTGGCAGGAGCTCATCGAGCCGGGAATTGGGATGTGGCGGCGAGTCAACAATGCCTGAGCCGAAGCGATACAGCCAAGAGAAAGTCACCCACACCTTCGAGTATGTGGGCGTTAATGAGGGGACAAAAGTTTCCCCTGGGCCGGAAATGAATTCAAAAAGCCGATATGAGCGAGAGATAGCAAATATCGACGGGCTAATTGAAAAAGTAGTCGCCAAGGAGCGAGCGGAGATGGAAATCTGCCCGCCTGAACAAGGATATCCCATTAATGGATGTGAAAATCAGCGGGCCGAAGAACAATCGGATTATAGAAGGATACGAAGCTGCTCCAGGCAAAAAAGTGCAAAAGATGATAAATTGAAGCATGGAATTCGACACCGACAACATCGAAGTGTCAGTGCTGATCGTGCGAACTATCGCAGTGTGTATCAGAGCCCGGAGGCGCTCTCATCATCTGATGAGAGCAGTGACAGAGATGAATTGCACCGGCGGAGTCGCAGATCCCGCAGGAAGCACACAAAGGACGATGTTAGCAGCAGCAGAAGTGGTAAGTCTAATTATTTTCCACTTGTTCATTCTATCAAACATCTGCTGCCCCAACCAACTTCAGCCCCTCCGCAAGAATTCACCCGCGGTGGCGCGAGAACGGCCAGAATCCCAAAAATTCACTCTATGGGCAAAAATACCCACCCTGACTAACTGAATATTAGGCGAAAATTTGTCAAGGTTTCTCTGACACGTGTATTATTTTTGGCACATCACATGAAACTGTTCAGCCAAAACAGCAAAAACGCTTACGTAAATTTGTATTACAGATTTATTTTAGAATAACAATACAAGAGGCGCAATTTGTAGATATATAAATATGTATTTCAGACAGAATTACACGCGGCAACAAAACACTAAATTGCCTTTTTTTCTGCGCTCGTTAGTGGACTTGAGATGTTTAAAATGAGAGGCCAAGGAATTCCTCTTGCCCTTACATTTGTTTTGAATACCTTGCCGAGTTCAATGATTTTTTTTTCCTCTCCGACAAATATGTTTTTCAGTGCCTATTATCAATTTATTACAGGATACGAGTTCCTAATGGGATGATAAAAAAGCTTTTTTATGCACTCAATTTCCGGAATTTCCTTTTCATTTTCAAGAAATTAGGACATCTCTCAGAGAAAACGCATAAAGTATATTATAATGTTCAGAATACACTCTTGAAAGTAGAATTCTTTTCCCCTCTATTCTATAGTGAACCTTTTAATAAATAGTTTTTGGCGAAATTAAAAAATTAGCTGCAAAAATAATTTCCGAAGCCACGCCTACTTGTAAACTCCGCCCCACGCCGAAGGGTAATTCTCTATTTCCTGGAAGCGTTAAAATACAAACATTCCGCGAAGTCTGCTCTCGCTATGAAAACATATCATTGTTGGTGAGCATTGTTTGCACTCTGAAGAGTGTTCCTAGGGCTGTGTAAATATTCATTGACACCTTACTGTTGGGCTGAATAGAGCGCCACGTGCGCATGAGCATAAATCAGCTGTTCTCGTATGTATTTACTCCTACACTCGAGTACTTCTGGGTGTTTTCTATGTTGTTACCATGATATTCGAAACCAGTCAGCATTGTTCAGTCACACCGGAAAGTTCTGATCATAAACCACCCCTGGAACAAGTGACTATTTACGCAAATAGCGGAAAGTTTGTTAATTGAGGAGTTGAAGAGAGCGCGAAAAAAGAGTGTTTTTTGCTCCGGCATTTGGCGTGGAAGGGACAATTAATGTTCGAGTGGGTATTTCAATAAAATCTCCGGTGTCGAAAATACGTGTGAATTTTTAATACTGACATAGGCAATATATGGCAAAAGAATCCGGATATGAGCAGATGGTGTTTCCTGTAAACAGTACGATTCATGGCTAAATGGAAATGTATGTGAACTCGGGGATAAAGAAGTATCTCGTCTATTTAAATAGCATTTTGTTCAGTTCTGTGCATTCATCAAAATTTGTGTGACTATTGTGAATTTCTAGCGCCGGCTTCAATGCAGCATCTAATGTAATTGTAACTGGCGAAGGTATAAGAGAAAAGTGCTGACGCTGTGAGTTATATAGTGTGGAGTTTTGCCGGAGAATTAATGAAATGGTCTCACAATTTTAATACAAATGCACTGTAGCGAAATATGGTCGAAAAGTGGACGCTTGACTAAAACCGTATTTTGAAGTGTTGGCTCTGGGCTCTCTTTTGTCGAGATAAGCAGAAAAGGAAGGTACGAAGTGAGTGTCTCTCCATTGTATTATGATATGATATTACTTTTCGCTCTGTGCGTCATTTTCATTCAACTGAGGGGTTGTTGACAAAAAGCGGACAGGGTTTTAAGTCACTTATATTAAGTGTTCCAAATCCACAGACATCTTAAATCTCCTCCACTATAAACTTTCTACTCCTCATCCACACAATGTGGGGGGATGCGAAAAAGCCCGGGTGGGATCAATGGCAGAGAGTCTCAATAGGAGGCAATTTATAGAGTAACTTTGGAGGATCAGTAAAATAAATTACCATGGCCTTCATTTTATAATCTTTCAGGAGCATCAATGTCGTGCCTTTTTTCTCCCTTCCCGCTCAACATCTTGGCGATTTGTGTAAAATCCAAAACCTCAATATTGATTTTCATGTTGCGGCCGGATGGCTTAGGATGAATCCCACAGTGTCCCGTAATGGTCTTTTATAGGGCGAGAGTCTGAAATGTGTATGAGTTGGTGGAAAAATAGGCAAACTTTTCTCTATTTCCGATTTCCATAATGCCTTACTTGATCCCATCTACGCCATCCATTGTGCCGTAGATTGGTATTTATGGTATGAAATTTATTTGAGAAAGAACCGACTGCTTATACTTTGTAACTTTATTGCAAACTTCTTCTCAATAGCATGGAAAACTATGGATGATGTGTAGAACTTCGGCTCTGTGCACTGTATACAATGTGGATGTTTTCGTAGTGAAATAAGCCATCATTCTTTAGTGGTTTTAAACTCCCAAAAGGATCGGATTTTTGCTGGGGAATTACGGTGGAATTGAGTGATTGTGATATGCGATTTGCGTTCTAGCAAGATTATCTATGGCACAAGCGACAGCATATTGGAATGTCAGAACTTGTGATATCACAGTGCCATTGTTGCACATGTGAAGTGACTGCTTGTGCTGACCCAACATCCCAAATTCAATTAGAGACACTGCGCCCCATCGAGCGGGCCAAGTGAGATGGAAGGAGGCTGTGATATGCGTTAGATTTTGCGAGTGAGTGCTAACTATGCACGCCACAGCAGTGACGCGAAACCTGGGAAATTTAATTGTTCATTTGCAATCGATCGCAATCCACTTAGGCCATGAATAATCGAATTGGGTGAGCGAAATTAGGTTGATTGTCTATCACAAAATATTATTAATACCTCAATAGCTCTATTATCCCCCAATTGTAGGGCTAATCTATTAACATTTCGGAGCCCCGGGAACTTTGCATGTCATACGGAAAGATGGATGATACGCACGAATCGACGGAGTTGTTCCCAGAGTATTGAATACCCGAGTGAAATCCGATTTAGCTCAGTAAACATAAATTTCATTCAGAAAGTATCGGCTGTGTGTTGTCTCAATACGGCCCACGGAATAGGAAAGCTCCTAGACGCACTGGCGGAAAGGATGTAAAAAATGTGGGGATAAGAACACGAGGAACTCATATTATACTCTCTGGAGACATTATGTACATATAAGAGGCCTTATGCTGGGGCACACTATACATATTATAAGCAAACGGAAGCAGAATTGAATTGGCTAATGGCACCAGAGCTCCGGAAAACACACACAATTCCATTGCGAGAATTTGGTGAATTACAGAGGAATTGTCAAGCAATAAAATAAGGGATTCATTACTTTACATATAAAACCTTTCAATTTGAAAGTTCGCCCCCGCCCTAAACTGGGTTTGGGCGAGCTTTTATGACTTTTTAAAACAAGCAAAAATATGCATTAACATACAAAATCAATTAAGAGAGAAAATTATTTGGATTCCTATCACTATTTCATGGCTTATTGTGAGTCATTCGAACAATTCGAGTCGAGTTGTTTAATTGAAAATACTTTGTCAAGTGAGTTTAAGGTGTTTTGAATACTTTCGAGCAAACTGTTTACAATAAATTGATTAAAAAGTTGTCCGTTTGAGATGAAATTCAGAAAACACTTTTCAAAGTAACATCAATAATACAGTGATTGAATAGTTTATAACTTCACTTGGAGCTTGACTCTGAGCTTTCTCTAAGCTCGAGGAAACAAAGAGGATTGAATTATTTATTTCACTTATAGTTTATGTTCTTCATATTCAATTAAAGTCCTGATCAAAGCCTCTGAACTATCATTAAAGAATCAGCAGGTGTTCTAAACAAGAGAATAATCTCATCAAAAGCTCCGAGGAATTTTTGCTATCTGCAAATGCAGACTTTGCATATTTTTCCTCCGGGAAAAAAGAGGCAATATAGTGGAAAGAGCCTTCGTTCATAATAACTCTGCATGTACGCTTTGGCGGTGTTTGTTGTTGAACACTCGCGTTGCCTTGGCGATAAAACTGATAAACACCAAAATCTCACCCTCATATGTGTTTTTTTCTACTTCTGTTTGTTGTCTCTCTACCCTTTTTGGCACAAACCTGAAAAAATGTCAAGGGAAAAATACTATATTTTAAAGGTTTTTTATGAAGATGAGGAAGCATGTGCATTACATAGAGTGAAAATTTGTTGGGATAGAGGAAGCGCGTAGGCAAATACTTAATGTGATGAATGGCTGACATGTTTTATATGCTTATTATGTATTTCACAATACAGTGAGTGCGTGTTGTGCTGCGCCATCCTTTTCCATGCATATGCATGCGAAGACGTGGGAAATACGCATAAATTATTTCACCGCCCCCGTCGTGCTGTAAATCTGGCGGCTGTGTTCGGAAAAAAAGGTGATGAAATACACTCGGGAGTAATATTTTGTTAGATGCCTCCATATATACATATGAGAGCGACAGAGAGCGCATTTACCGCAAAATAACACCTTTTAATTGCAGAAATGTACGTCATTTTCCGCGGCTACACTTTTTTCACCTTTGGCAGAGTTTGTCAAGTGTAAAAGAGGGAATCAATATTAATCTAAATCCCCATGAGATGAGGGTGAATAAGGACAATAGAGGCGAAGGACCTTTTTGTGGAGATATAAAAAATGATGGGTATTAGAGTTTTTCTGCATTCCACGTCTGCATGTTTTATAGTTTAATTTCCCCGCAATGAGGGAGGAAAAAAGGTACAACAATCTGATAAGCTCACTCGTAGATCAACAGAGAAGAAACTTTATTCAAGACTTTATCTATCCAGTGAATTGTGTCTGTACGCAGCCGTTTCGAAAACTAATTATAATCCACATTCTGTCGAGGGGATTTTATTAAACAATAACTTGATGAGGAATAAGTCGCAAGAATGAGGAGCGAACTATAGCCTAGCAGTTGGGAAAGTTTGCTTAACACACACTCCCTAATTCGGAGCATCTTTAGTGGGAAGTCTGTCATGCAAATCAGGAACATTGCGCCCCACTCGTTTGACAACACTTTCATCCCAAGTACGTGTTATATGGACATCCTGCCACAATATCGCCCTATTCTGTTCTTGAGCTTTGGCACAACTTCACCAATCCCCACTTGAAGTCTCGGAACTTTCTTAAGTGTACACAGAGTCTTTATACTCCCAAATATGACAAAGTCGTGTCATGATTCACACTTGATTCCCAATATAACAATACATGGCGTCAAATTTACCATCAAATCTCATCACTTTCTATGAATATTTGATTCGTTTTTTAAACTTACATTTAAAGCCTCTGAAAAAGCTGGAATTTAATGCGGCAAATGTGGAATTGTGCGGCTAATGAAACCATGGAAACACTGAAATGTTCGCGTTAAGATTCACCCCATCTGGCAGTCATTACATAATCCGACGTATTAATTAATATACATAGGAGTGTAGTTGTGAAAATTAATTACATAATCTAATACAACAATGCTAATGTGTATTTGTGATGTGTTTAAAATTAACATATAAATTAACAAGCCGATCAAAATAATTGGATTGTGCATATGGATTTAATGATGCCGGGCTTCAATTTGCACAGGTTGGCATTTTATAATTTCACTATTTAGTGACACATTATTGGGGTGCTAAAATGTATAGTGAATGACTTTTGAGTGCGATTCACATTCACACTATTCATTCAATTTGAATTGAAAATAGCAATTCTGCAAACTACGAAAACCATTATGTGGATATTCCAATAAAACAGCTCTTTTGCGAATTGTTAATAGTTCAGGATATGTGAAAATGGCGTTCCAATCACCACTCTGGGCTATTTCATTTCTGTTTTAGCAGCGATATATGCGTTTGTATTAAATTTTGAATTCCTTTGATGCACGCATACCGCTCGCAAATCAATCATCCTTCTCTGGAGTGTAAATTTGATTCAGTTTTATTATTTTTTCAAAAAGTGAACGCACAGAAAAATAGAAACACCGAGGTATTTCAATATATTTTGCTCTCACATGAATATCTGAATGATAAAAATAAACATGGAGAGAGATCAGCGACCTATATTGCATTTCTTTGCCAGTTCTGTTAATTTTTCCACATAAAAAACAACTATATGCAATATATATGACGCTTGAGAACAAAATTGACTTGTGTTGCAACTTTTCACAACTATTTATAGTGACTAATATAAAATAGGAACTCATTGTGACATGCCAGAAGAAACTTTTCGCTGCTTGGAATTCCCAAAACAGTTGCACTGTTTTGGGATTTTACATTCCTGACTTATCAAAACGCTGTGAATATAAAATCAGGGAATTTTCGTTTTGCTTCATATCTTTATTTGATGATTGGGGTCATATTTCACAAACTCGCTCTTTCTAAATTCTGTATTTTAACACCACAGCGAACACATTTAGCTGAGAATTTCACTGTGCTCAAAAGATTTGCTCGCAAAAGTGCTTATTTTAGCTCAAAGTGAGAGAATTACTCGCGATAATCAAGATAATAGATGACGCATGATGAAGATACGAATCTATAGTTCGCTAAAACAACACTCGAGTCAATTGTACAAATTGCGACTCGTAAATTAATTCTCTTAATTAATTTTAACGGCATTATCTACTCTTAAATCTCTTATCGGCTTATCAACATGTTTTTTATGTCACCAAAAGATCTGTAAATTACAGTTTAAGGAATGCTTATTGAATGTGCTAAGAAAACTGATATTATCTGCTCAAAACTTAGCAGAAAGTTACTGGAAGACATGAAAAAATGATCAAAGTGGTGCTTATTTTGTGGTTATTTCGCACTTTGATTCAGCAGTGAATTAGCTGAAAAGCATATTGATTTTAGGTCAACGTGTTCGCTAGGAAGCTGATTTTCTTTCGCCAAAATTTGAATCTCACCTAGAGCAAATCGCATTCTGTGAAATGCGCAAGTCACGTAAAAACCGGGAAATAAAGTTTCGCGAAAAACCAATTAATGGCCAGAAAAACTTGAACCATGCATCTGATATTTATCTCTAGACCTTTCTGGTGTTAACGCTAATTGACGGTGGTTGCATGCCACACACGTGCCACTAGAGTTTGAGGGCTTTTAGTGGTTGATCCCTTCAGTCTATGCGGTGCATTAGTGGCCTCTTATCCGCCGTGTGTCACTCCGTATGCAGAATTGAATGGCGCGACTGCCCAAATCACGCTCTCAGCCTCACGGTGGCCGAATGCATCGCGAATGGAGTGAGTATAGCGGTGTACCTGTGTCTGTGGATGAGGCATTTAGTCACAAAGCACTGAGTCACTGAACAGTGACTCTATTTCTTTACTCACACACGAGAAATCGTACTGGAAGTTGGGTGAAATACATGGATTTATAAATAAACGCAAGAGCTGCGCTCTCGGTTGAAAATTCCTCACCTAGCTTTAGTAATAGCAGTTTTGCCGTGACCAGCAATCTCTGCGCATGCTTTAGTGGTTCAAAGTCAATTTTTCTCTGGAATTTTTCTACTCGCTAATTGGATTTTTGCATACAATTTTGGCGCGGAGTCACGTTGGGAATCACAAAAAGTGGGGAAAATGCACAATTCTGAGTGATAAATCAATGGACGTGTGATGGTGTGGTTTTTTTTTCTAGAGCGAGTTTATTGCAAAATTTAGGTCTCTCACTGTGCTTGGCGACAGAATGTGGCTGTGGAATTCTTTTGGCTTCTCGCTAAGCTGGTGTTTTCATGATGGAATACAATTCTAAAGTGTATAATTCTGTGTGCAAGCGTGGAGTAAATTTTCAACAGTTCCGTGTGGGTTAATAAACCGGTGTCGTTGCTTGAAAGAGAACAATATATAATGTGCACGCCGTGTACAAAGTGAATTATTGAGTTATTTCCAAGGCAACACCACGGAGCAAATATTTTCGTCATGACGTTTATACTCGGCTTAGCTGGTTCCATCTAATCTCCGTGTGCACATAGCCAAAGCCCTGTTGCAATGGCCTAGTGATGGACTCTGAAGACTCTCCTTTGTGTAGTGGGAAACACTCGAAACATGGGTAAATCGCCTCTTTTCGCTCTATTTTTACAATGCAAAATTTATGGCTCCAGAGCGTAGGAGTTGGGAAAAATGCACGGATATCGGAAGAGTATCTTATGTACGAGAGCACATAATTGGTGCATTAAATTGTCGGCGTTATTTCTTGGCACTGCTTCAGAATGAATATACAAAGCGCAATGCATTGAATGGAGTCCATATTCGGAATAAATTGGCACATGACTTCATATGAGAAGTTGCACACAGTGCAATGTATGATTTTTCGGTGGAAGATTGAACTTCTGCACAATATGAAGCCAGATATGAATCATGAGTCTGGATAAGTAATTATTATAATACGCTTCGCTTGCGATAATGCAATTAATTTCACAGTTACTTCATTATAGTGAGATCTCACCCAACATTTACGCGCTTGCATCGGCGGGCTGTTTAGCGTTTATTGATTTCATGTGCGAGCATCGCGAATTTAGTTGATTGAATGCCAAATACATGAATTAGATTATATACGTGTGCAGAATATAATAAGTATTAATTTTCCACTTGGCGTCACACGTCTTCCGCCCGCCAATTCATTAATTCACTTTGTAGTACATGTACATAATATGTTCGAATTTGCTACACATTCACATGCGTGCATGCACATTATGTGGAAATGGCTACGCCAACAATGAAAATATGCTCTCGTATTTATCGTGCAGCAACAATTTCGCGGAGTTTATTTTCTAAGAGCCGCACAGTGAAAAATGGCAGAAAAAATTAGCATAAACTTTCTAAAATGATTCATTTTAATACAAATAATTACTTTGTTTTACTTGCTTAATTGCTGGGTGAAAATAATTGGACGTCTGGCTGCAAAGTGCGCGGCTCTTCATCTGCAAATGCATGGGAATTGCCAATTCACGAGGGTTTGCGTGCGTCTAGTCAGCGCGAGTTAGAATATTTAACAGTTTTCGAAGGCAATTAGAATACTTATTATCCAGCGTACAATCTCTGATCCAGACATTCTCGCAGTTCTTCTTTTCCCCCCAAAAATTTTGTCTGCTACGCCATGACAAATTCATGGAATTTCTGTATGATACTTGCAAAAGCAAATTTTGTTTAGCAAAGTGAAATGAGCGAGAGGAAATACGCGTGACTGTCTATACATTGTATTGTAGGAGTTTTGTTATTTTATTCCGCTTCGGTGGTCGTCTGTCAGTAACAATGCTTTCCATACTTTTCTGTTATTTCAACACTCAACTCTGGTCCACCGCCAATGCGATATATTCATTCCATGCGACTCAAGTTGCCCATTGCGGTGGGGTTTGTTGTGTGTTTTCCAATTCGTTCATCACAAATTGTATCAATTCGCACAATTGCCAGTCAGATAGAGGTTTCCATACACCCTTTATGCAATTGATTAGGTAAACGTTTGACTAAGCGTCGTCTTTTTTTTTATTCTTTTCAGGCGATCAACTGGTGGCCCTTAACAAGGTGTCGTTGGCTGGAAGTGATCCAAACCCACCCAACCTCATTAATGAATCATCCGATCAGGTGAATAATACAAGAAATAAGTTGAACACATCGCTAAACACCTCTTCCTGCCGCGCAATACAAATGACAATGCCAAATTAAGATCTTAATGCACTTGTTTTCACGGGTTAATTTATTAGAAATTAAGATGTCAAAAGCGCGCTACTTAATTACAATATAATTTCGTAGTGTATAATTTGGGTAGATGAAGACAAATCTTAAATTCAGTACAGTTTCTTTGGAAAGAACTATTAATTCTAGATCACTTCGTAGCTTTAAATAAATGCATTTCCTTCTCCTCTGATGAGTTGAGAAGATTAGTATAATCCTTTCCAATCATTTCCTTATCGAAAGAGATTGAAAAGCACGAGAGAGAAAATCAATGCCAATGCATTGCTAGGATTCTTTCAAAGGGGAAGTTAGTAGCCGATTTTAGGGGAATCTTAATGATTTCATTCAATATAAAATTTAAAATCTAAATATTTTCGGTAAAATATTTCAATATATTCAAATAAATTTAAATATATATGAATATATTATTTCAAATATTCAAAGAATGATTGTATATTCACAAACTTAATGGTCTGATTTCATTAGTGACTTTCTCTTTGGATTCTTGCTATTGATTTTGAATGTAGAGAAGTTTCGCGAATAATTCTATTCTTCTCACTTGCATCAATTTGCTAAAGTTTTGTTAATCCATAATGAAATTAATGAGTAAAACAACGAGAAACTAAACTTTTCACTTCCATATCAAACATTAACGCGTTTGCGTTTAAGTTCTCACTCCTGAGCTTATTAATTTAACAAACCTAGACTGTTTGAAGAAGGTGAAGAGAACCTCTCAGAATACATTCAGACTGCAGAACTTGTCAACTGTTGCTTTTTTGCATTTCAACTGGCTAATTTGCACACAAACTTCTCCACTATCGCGAATGAATATTATTCAAATATTTAGCAAACTGAGGCTCCATGCGCGATACTTTGTGTCAACAAGTATGATCAGCCAAACTGAAATGGTGGCGTTAAGTGATTCGTTACATTTGCACTTGTGCTGAAGAGCACGAGGAATATATAGCCCATTCAGCGACGTCGCTATATTAGACAGGAAATGGACGGCAATATCTCTTGGGAGACGACCCTAAGCGTTTACTTGAATGAAAGTTTCATGGTATTCCGCATCTCTGCTACTTATGTAAAAATGTTTTTCATAAATCTTCCACTTGTTTATGTCGCGCGCTATATATGTTTTTTTGACGTCGGATGGGGAGAAAAAATCGTAGTGAAAACTTTTATATTATTTATAGGATGAATTTCTTATTCACTCATAAACGTTCTGCGGGCGAAATTTATGCTCACCTTTTCTTCCCATTTTCCCGGCCTCTTTCGCAGGTATTCTTGCGCCTTGTGCGACGCTTGGCAACACTACAGCCGCCGCAGAGGTTGAGTAACTCAGCATCACAACTCTATAATGCTGGAGAAATTGAGGCGAGTTCAGGCGAAAATAGGATCAGTGACAGTGGCGAAGTGTGCGCGAAATTCCCCAGAGAACTAAACAATAATAGCTGTGAAGAAAGTGCACACAATGATGGTGTCGAGGGAATCAGAGCGAAGGGAAGCTGGCAAGACTTTAGTGGGGGCGGTAATAATATTAGTGCTGTCCAATTAATTAATTGTGCGAGCACTATTGGCGAAGGAAGTGAAAAGGATAAAGTGGATAGTGAATCGACGTGTTACAGTGAATCACAGGAGCTCGAGGATCTTCGTACTATGGGATCCAATGCGTCCCGGCATTCGGGGAAAGGTTTATCTGGGAGAAGGAGTCAGTCTTCAGGTGATTAAACACTTCACTTTGCGCTATTTCATTTACAAACTGCCAAGCAATAGACTAACAAGCACATTATGTATGTACATAATGCATAAATCAGGCGAGAGAGAGACTTTGTACATTAATACAACAATGCCAATCCTTATCGCAGGTAATTTGTGCAATGGAAAGCATCAGGCAAACGGCACGCATTATCGCAGAAATGGCCGCAAAGTGAATCTCCGCTCAGATGCAGAACCTCAAGATTCCAAAGCCGCAACCGCAGCAAATCAGCGATGTGACGAAGACTGCTCGAGAATCAATTCGACGTCTGCACTGAGAAGTGAGGTACATGCTAGGATCGGAGATGATGCAGGCAATAGTGGAGAAATTGGAAAATTAATTGGCGTTAGCATAAGCGACCGAAACAAATTCTGTGGTAGCCTACCAAACCATTTGGATGTGGACGATATTGAGCCGGATCCAAAATTCTCAAATGTACAAAATCAATACGGTGAGAAACATTCTCTACTGACAATCATAGATCACAAATTCATTATGTACACATCACCGCTCGATTGCACATGTTTTTTATGTGTTATTCATGCTGTGGAATGCAGATAAAGCTTATCAATGTGGTTTATAGATTATTTCGGGGGAACATTTTGCTGAAATTTAACACTTCATCGCACCGTTTCCACAATATTTGTACCAAAGTGTCCACAGAAAATGTCACAGATTTAGACACATTTTTTTTTCTTCTTTTGACACATTTGCAGCGGGCAGTTGAAATTTGCATTTAGAGGAAAATATAAGCACAATTTTTCTACACTTCCGTTCTTTTCTAGACGGCTTATTTATTCAATTTATTATGCTTTTCTATGTTTTCTAGCTCAATTCAAGTGTGTAAAAATCTTCTTCCACTATAATAATTTCCATGCCTTTTGATTGAATGTTCTTATATTAGAAACAATGAAGAGCTTGATGTAGATGAAAAGGCTTTAAATGTTAAATGCCGAAAGCAAAGATCATTATAGTTATTATTGAATAAACTTCTCCCAGTAATTGTGTTGTATTGAAATATTCAATAATTTCCATCATTTTGATACTCGCGGCAAATAATATTCTGATAGAAATTTCCTCGCTGATTTGTATAATTATCCTTGTAATTATGCGAAACACTGCGCCATTCATTTAATTGGGAATTAATTATTGTTATTATCAGTTGTGACAGAATAAATTGCCATATGGGAAAAATTAATTGAAGCCCACTTGCTGTGGCATTTACATTTTTTGCATTTCAAAGTGCAGAAAAAAAACTGACGATTGAGTTATGGTACATTAATTTCGTATGTCGTGTTATGTAAAATAATAGGGAGTTAATTAATTGAATATGATTGACCAGAACGAATGTGTAAGTGCCAAAATTTCACTTGTCAAGCAATTAACAGTGTAAATTTCTCTTTTGCCTCCTTACGTTATTTTTCATTATATTCACTGACACATAAAAATAATTGGGTGATATAAAAGTGTAAAAACAGACATTTTTTCTCCACTTTCTCTCCTCATTGATCCATATTGTGTGCCAACTGTGGCCAAGAGGCGAGAGAACGTGCGTGATATCATCTGAAAATCACGGGGAATTTATTATTTCTCAGGCAGCCTTTTTGTCTGCGCAACATTGTTAAATATCACCCCCATTATACTAGTTGTACACGTGTAATGCACGGGGTTTGTGTTATTCATTATCGCATAGAGAGTGGAAGATGAAAGGGCTGAAGGGTGTGTTATTAGTACATGCAAAGTAACCGTTTTCTATGTATTTTAAAACAATTGTTCTTTCTGCCGCTTTGTTCTGCACCACCCAAAAGTAACGTCAGCGGGAGTGCTCAAGTATACATTGGAAAATAATGGCACAATGGACCAGGCGGAGTACGTGACTGTTGCCCCAAGAAAGCAGCCATTCCAGCAGACTTCACAGGCCGATCAACAATTTCCGGCAAAACAAAGCTCACCCTACAACAGCAGCAGCGGCAAGGGATCCATCACATCGTCGAGCAATCTTGGCGGGAGTACGTTCAAAGCCAATGTCGGTGAGTTTCAAAGACAATCGCCTACACCTTCGCCGCACGTGAGATGCCAGAGACAAAACTCTATTGTTGAAAAACACACACAGCAGTGCAGAAAAGTCTACGATAAGAGCTTTATTTCTCCAATTTCATCGCAACCCTCGTTAGCTCACAAACCTATATTTGAGCGCACACTGAGAGAAATGTCACTGTGTACTTTGACTCAAAGCTTTCACAGAGTCTTTCAGAAGGATATCGAATCAGGGGTGTTTTCCTAATAAGCTCAAAACTATGTACTTTAAAGGAAACTCAACCATTGGTGAAATTCAACTAAATTATCAACACTTAGACGAAAAATTGTTGCGGGGCAATTTTCATCAAGTAAAAAAACAAAGTCATATTTTTTCTCTCAGTGCGACATTTTGCACAAACCTGACGAGGAAAATCGAAACGCAAATATGTAAATATGTCCTGGCAATTTCCTTATCCTGAATAACTTTTAAATGACTCACGAGATGTGAAAAAAATTACTCGCATTGCGGAAAAATGTTGTCGCACTTCCTGGCTTTCCTTTTGCCTTCTGTCGCATTGATTTTCTGGCTCTTTTTTGTCGTTTGCAGACAACAAACTGGAGCTGCATCTGAAGATGCCGACAAATCGTGTCAACTTTGATCCCAGCTGTGACCAGGGATACGGAAGTGAGCGCTCGCCAGAGGACGAAATGCCACCGCCCTTCATCTCCGAGGAGGATCACTGTGCGCTGCCCGCAATGTCCTGCCAGTTGACGTACTGGTGCGAGCCTGGCGAGTTCAGATACAGCAATCTGGGATACGCGTTTATTACCAAAGGTGAGGCCAGAAGAAAGTTTGGCAAACAAGTAGATCCGACGGAGTGTGAATTCAGTGTGAAAATTATATAGCCACCATTTGTCTTCATATTTAAATAGCACTTAAATTCACGGTTGGCATTAGCGAGTCTTATATAAAAGGGGGTGCTTTACTCCATTTTATGGTACTTTAAAGAAACTTGAGCAGTATAATTACGGAAATAATTACGGCAAAAATTGTTTATTTCTCATTTTCCCTCTGTATATTTTCTTTAATATGTAATGCATGCGTTCATCGCTGAATCATTGATTTGGTTGGGAAAACAATTTCCCCATTCAATATGTATTCTAATTTATTGACAAAACCTCTGAAAAATTGATTAAACAGCGCTATTTGTCGGATTGTCTGTCTATTATTGATCCAGCAGAGACCCTCGGAAAGTTTATCAACAAAACCATTACTTTGCCTCACCGTGATTTTTTTTCCTCTGTACACACATTGGCGCTCTTTTGCTACCTACAAAATTTCCGAGAGGAAAAGCAAATATGTTGACGCCTTCTCTGTCAAGTGCAGGCAAATTTGAATAGCAGCACAAGAGCTGTTCAATGGAGGGGAAATAAATGGCTTTGATGGCAAAAGAAGCCGGCAATCGATGTTGGCACTAAACAATATGAACGATCTTTAACCATCAATTTGGAATATTGGCATTATCTAGCCACAATGACTCTGAACGGAGACAAGAGCTCCACATAATACAATTTGTGGCGACATGGTCAGTTTGTATCTCGAGATTAGACCTTTTCAATGGCATCACTCTAATGATAAATTGATTTTTGATTAATGGCAGTACGCATCCTTTTGCAGACTGTACCTTCTCGGTGGAAATCACCAAGGGACCTCGTGGCCTGGGTCTCTCCATCTCGGGCGGGGCGGAATCCAGTGCGGTGTTCCCTGGTCTGATTCGCATCAAAAGACTGTTTCCCCACCAGGCGGCCTGGGCAACTGGAATGCTTCAGCCCGGTGACATTCTCCTCGAGGCGAACGGCACTCCGCTCACGGGCTTAACCAATTACGTAAGTCGCCCTCACTTTGCCAGCCGCAATTTATCCAGCCCCAAATGCTTGCGTGCGCTCCATCCTCATCGCTCTCTCTCTTTCTTTCTCTCCCGGAAAAAAACACACAGGAAGCCCTGGAAGTATTGCGAACTACACCCAACAATATACTGCTAATTGTGTGTCGCCCCAGCGACGAACAGTACCGTAAATTGTCTCCGCCGTCAGAGCCACCCAAGCCACCCCAAAGAACCAATCTCCATCCGGGCACTAGTCAACCCTTCTGCGAGCCGCTGTCGCCACTTCAAACTAATTTCAATGGGGTGAGTGTTGATCGATGTGCAATTCCGCTCAATTGTCTAGTTTTTGATTGTTGCGTTTCCATGAAAAATGTTCACATAATGGTCGCATCTCTATGGACACGTCGAATTCTGATTTTTTTATTAAATCACATTTTGAGCGGTGTTTAAAAAGAATAATTTGAGAAGAAGAACGGAAATCTTTGTTCTAAACTTATCTGAAAGTTAACTTTTTGTCTATTTGTTGTGAATGTGTCAGAAACAGGACTGGAAGAGAAATGTTAATTGGCTCTGATGAGATAAACAATCTTCGATAATTGTCAGACAACAAGCATTGTGTGTCTTTAATCTCCACTCAAGTGCATAAGAATATTTGCAGAAGACGTTCGAGCTTTGAGAGCTTTCGTGAATTGAAGTTTCCCTTTTTACAGGGGAATTTTATATTATCAAATATTGCTCCACAACGCTTAAAGATAATTTTCCAACTCGTGTTTTTCCATCCTTCCAAATTCAGACATTAATTTATTGATTTAAGAGTGTTTTTCGTAAATCATTTCTTCCAAAAATGTATATTCAAAAGTGAAAAGCTTGTAATCCAGAAAATAGAGTCTCTAAATATGTGTCCAAACTGCGCGACAACACTGTACATTATATATATTTTTATTGTATTTTGGGAAGGAATTTTTTGGCACATGTAAAATTGAGGAAATGACATGATTGCACGATTCCAAGATATATTGTAACCCTTTTTAGGTATAAATTTGCATACTTTAAAGGATTGCAAAAGGGTTTTGCTGCTTCACATGTTTTCTTTAAATTATTGTACATCCATTTTGCAGTGAACATTTGAAATTTAAATATATTGCTTTCTATGCTTTTCTAAGTTGTCGGCAAAACTCAAGATTTATTCCTTTCAGCAAATTGCTTTTTGAGAGACGTTAGTTTGAAGTTTTCTTTCAAGGGGTGGCGAAAGAGTGTGTGTGTGCTTCTCTGTCGGAATTCCTTGTGTTGTTGCGCCCCTAAAATAATATATCCGCATGTTGCAGGAATTTGAAATAATTTTGGTGAAACAACAAGGCTCTCTGGGATTCACCTTGAGGAAGGAGGACGAATCTGTTTTAGGACATTATGTAAGAGCTCTTGTTCGTGAGCCTGCCATAACAGACGGCCGAATAAAGCCCGGAGATAAAATTATGGCGGTAAGAACATTCATTAATTTTCCTTTTCTGTTTGCTCCTTTTCCTGTGATAACATTATTATCCAAGATTTTTATATTTATTAATATTCATAAAGTTGTGGCGAATTATTTATGTACCAGCGAAGGCAAAGGAAATGCAAGACGCTGGCAAGTGAATAGTTGATCATCTCATGATGAGAGAGTAAATGTTTGGCAGCAATATACGAGATTGCATTGCTTTCAATTTGAGGATATCCAAGGCGAAACCACGTACAAATACACATTCAGTCGAGGGCAATATTGTGGTTTTGTTACGTACAGATGTGGGTGCACGCCATGAACTGTGGGCAACAATGAAACTGAAATTGCCTCGCATGCAGCGAAGAAAAGGAAACACTCGGCCAAATCAATAAAATAGGAAAAATATTTTACACGGCGGCACAAAAGGGTGGCTTTCTCATGCGGACGTGTTTCTCATCTCTTGGCAGGTTAACGATGTCCCACTGTCGCACATGACACACGAAGAGGCTGTGATTTTCCTCAGGCAAGCTGCGGAGACGGTGAAACTTCGTCTCTACCGAGATGTCGCCCAGACTCCCGTAGCCGCCTTATCGCCCACGAATCCCGAGAATAAAGACATTTCAAATTCATTAAAAACGAAAGTTTATTTAAGGTAAGCTTCTTTTCCCGCCTGTGCTTTATATACCTGTGCATGTATTCTGCAAATGCCAGAGCGAAGAATGGGAGAGAATAAGACGACATTTAGCTCGAGATCTTCCAAAGTTGTATTTATTGTATCATTTGTGAGTGATGTATAAGTGGAAACACGGGTGTTTGCATTCTTTTTATTCTTCCGCGCAGAGAACACCACGGAAAAAAAAGCGTGGAAGTGGTGAGAGAAATTTCCTCGCGACAGCATCGAGGCTTGTGAAAATATTCCATATCTTTGCTTTACTCAATTGTGGAGTGTACAAACACATATTTATTTATTGAGCTATACATTTGTGAAGTTATGTGGAAAAAAATCCCAGCGATGAAAGAGAACTTTTCACGCCAAAAAGTCACCTGGAAAGTAATTTCCATAAAGCGTAATTTGCAATTTTCTGTGTATATTGAAGTTGGTATTTGTAATATCTCAACGTGAAGCTTAAAAACGGGCTTTAGTCAGTGCTCCAGGGAGAATTACATTGCTATTAAATTGAAATCCATATATTTAATAAGAAAAAAAATGTACCTTTGATGATTTGAAAGAACGAAGGAGGAATGATTTCTATTAGCCTAATTTCGTCAAAAAGCTGGAGCAACTGAGTTGCAAAGCTTCTAGATTCAGGAAATTGTGCTCGTATTTATTGTTTTATCGCTCAGTAAACTTGAGTGAAAGTTGAATGCTGAAATCCTTTAATGTCAAATCGATATCTTTCCATTTATTGTGTGAATGTTACGTTGCATCTCGACCAAAAGTGTCATTGAACAATTATATTCGGAAGCTTGCAAAGGCACTGAATGGAAAGAATTGCTCGTGAAGGGTGAAAAGATTGCCACTGAACTAAGACGCCGCGCGAATTTTGAATTCATCTACGCGCATTTCACTCTGAACATTATGTCAAATTGATTTTTTTCTCTCTTCCATGTCGAATGGTTGTGGTTGACGTGATCCAAACAGGCCAGAAGCCATCAATTTGCTGAGTGACTTGGCGCACAGGAAGCAGACACCTTGCGGCGGTGATTCGAGTGGATCATCCATGAAATCGAGCACCACATCACCACGTCGCCTGAGACGATGTGCTAAGAGTAGTTTATCGGGCAGCCAGACGCAAAGTGACTGCGGATCAGCGCATTATGTGGTGTGCAGCCAAGCGACGTCGTCATCTGTCTATTCAGATTCCGAATCCACCCTCAGTCAGTCCTTCGCCAACGCGCGCTGCGCCCAGGGATGCTGCAGCGACACGTACACCATCCGAGAGGGCGACTCGGAGTCAGAGGCCGATGTCGAGGGGCTGGATGAGCGACAGGTGGCCAATCGGCCGAACTTCCTGAACCTGGGCGCGGCGAGCCAGAGTGGCTGCACACCTGTGGTGTCGAGGAAGCCCATGTTCCAATTCACCGTGCCGTCCAATGCGTACGAGCTGAACAACCTGGACAATGAGCTCCTCGACGCGCCCATCTACCAAAGTGGCGGCCATCCGGCGGGCGATGCTAGTCAAGACTTCACTAGTTTACCGTGCGAAACATTTCTAGTAGCGTGTAAGACTGAAAGTGACCTTAGAGACATCGTGGAGGCGAATTTCAATCATCGAAATCCCATTTACCAATCCGCACAAGTGCAGATGAATAGAGAGGAGACGGCAACGTCCTCAGCCGAGAACACTGACGATGGCATCAAGCAAGATGGTACGTGAACTTTTTCCAAAGAAAATTTCCCTACTATTTGAACACCCTCTTAGCATTCTAAGGTGATTTCCCTCTCCTTGCTGCCAATAAAAGCGCTTCCTCTTGAGAGGTTCCATTTAGAATTTCATTCAACACTGAAATGTATTGGGTGAAAAAGCTGTCTCCATCAGCATTGGGCGAAGAGAGAGAAGAGCAAAAAATACCCATCATGTCTGAAAGCTCAAAATATTGCCTCGTTTTTCTCCTTTGCCTCCCTTCGCCGTTTCATCGGCAAAGTAGATATGCCACGGTCCTATTTATGAATTGGAGCACAAGTGTGTGCCGCTCGAGGATCATAGGATTGCACTTCATTTGCCAAGAATTCACTCATTCGATTTCGAATCACCAATAATTCTCCTTTCTGTTTTTTTCTCCTTAGTTTTATTGTCTTCCAATCTTTTCAATTCGAATGAGCGTTATATTTGCTAAAGGTAAGAAGCTTGCGAGGGACGCAGAATTTGTGACTCAAAGCCGGAAGAAGTTGTTATTTCCTTTCTTTTATGTATGACAGAATTGAATTATTGATTTGGTATTGAAATTAATCGATCAATAAAGATACTGAAATAGAAAATTCTCAGAATATTCCTTTGAATGTTTCCCTAATTTTGCTTTCAGACTTCACAAAACATTCCAAATTGATTTGTGATAAATTTGCAAAATTTATTTTTTCAACAATTCTTATTATAATTTCTTTCCAAATTTAGAAGGTTTTTTTTTAAGAATTCACAGTGTCTTGACATTTTCTTTGTATGACAAATGAATTCCATTGGATCAAAGGTTAAGTTTTTATTACTTTACATTTCCCTCGACATTCTTTCCCATCTGGTGGAAAAGTTTTAAGAAATTTGATATGAAAGAAATAAATTCAAGCGAATATGCAATTCAGCTCATTTTGATTTTAAATGCTTGACATTTTTCTGTCCTCTCCCATAAGCAGATGAAATAACAAGGACGGTGGAAAAAGCATTGCGACATCTCAGATAGATGAGTGTTATTTATGTGAAGATAACAAGAATGAAAACTTATTCCTCGTGAATAAAGTATTCTTCCATCCTTCTTATGTTAATGTATAATACACAACGCTTTCGTGTTGCGACGTGGGTCAGAAACCACCAGTGCAGTTTCTTATGAATTTTTCAGTGGATTTAATCCACTTGACTTCCATTGTTTCCTTTGAGTCCCTTTCACCGAAATTTTTCATACACTGCGCCTTGTGAGATTATACAATGTATGCGATAAGTTCATAGCTAAATAATATAGGTGTATTTTCTGTGTGTCTTAACTTAATTTTCTGTACCGTGCAAAAAGGCCAGCGTATTACTATCTCAAACCCTTTCTTGCTTCTTACGAGATGGTTTTGTTAGTACATAAGAGCCAAGATGAGAATTTTCTCCGTCATTCATGCTGTATATCTTTCTGTGTATACATATTAGGAACGAAAAGTTTGCTGAAATGGAAGGGTGTAATGTTTTCACCGGAAGGAGGGCTGGAGCAGAAGGAAGTGCCAGAGGCGAGCACAGAAAGTGATTCCATGGTCGCATCTAATCCCACCGATCGTGAAAATCTACTCAGAGGACTCAATACAGATGGATACAAGGTAATGTACTGCCTCTCCCCCCACATTATGTAGATGCGCGCGTGTGTTGCGTATTACATATCTCGCAATGGGAGCACTTTCTGCGGCAAAAAAGCACACTTGTTGGCGTGCTTCGGGACGAAAGTGATTAATGGCGGTGTAAATGCTTGCAGATGATCACAGTTGAATTGCACAGAGGTTGGAACAGTCGCCTGGGATTCAGTCTCCAGACGGACATTGAGACTAAGCGCGCCGCCATCAGTGCAATTTACTCAGATAGCGTGGCTGCGAAGGACGGCAGACTCAAAGTCGGGGATCAAATTGTAATGGTGAGTCGCTCGGAACTTCCCCTCAATTGAACATTGCAAATAGTAAACATACTTTTGTTTGCCACTCTTTAGGTGAATGACGAGCTTGTTACTAGTATGCCAACGTCAGAGATAATAGACTTATTGCGAATTATAAGGGGATCCATTTGCATAGTCATTCTGCGGAAACAGTAGTGCTGAACTGATAGGTAAACATATGCGCGCAATGGGAGAGATCAATTTTAACACGATTCAATTCAAATTCCGGTATACAGTAAATCCAACAATTGTGCAACATAAAGTCTAACAAATAAATATCCGAAAATATTGTGACTGTTTTTTCTACATTATATTGCATATATTTTATGAGGGCAAATATTGGAATATTGAGATGAATTTTCGTGGTGTTACAGCAGCAGCGATGATATTAATTGTTGGCAATTTCATACCCGATATAAAATATTCACAAATGTTTCACACGCGTCATTTCATTGATTTTTGAGATGGTGAAAATGATGGGGGTTTTCCTTTAAACAAATTTATTATGTATATCTTTTTCATATCAAAAATTCCATTTTCATGACATATTTCCAATTAACAGTCATTTCACGAAGCCAATCTAAATTAAAGGATATATATAGTAAAGTAAAATGGCATAATTACGCGTTTTTTCTAAAAAATAAATAAATAAATAAATAGCAAACACAGATAGGAATCATAAGTAAAATGTGTTGTTATGAAATTTTCTTATAGGAAATTTTCTAGAACTGTTCAAACGTAATGAAATGTGTATCAGACAGAAAGGAAAACATTTTGTAAAGAGTCAATTTTTTCGATTATAATGCATTCGTTTAGTTTGAAAATTACTCTGTGGTTATGAATGGATGATTTTTCTGTATGTGTGATTTTTGAGATTGAAATAAAAGTCTATTAAAACATAAAGAAAACTCTCTTTGACGATTTTTATTGAAGTTGCTTCGTAACTGTCATAGTTCAGTGCGTGTCTTATCTATTTGATACTTGCAATTGTTGCAATTTGAAAACTATTTCCGACTCTTCTTTCATCGGAAAATATCACCATGTGAGTTATGGAGGGCGGCGCATGAAATATTCTTCGCTATGGAGTGAATTTATCACCAGAAATACACTCTTCCATGTCACGAGGATTATTTGCACTATATTAATGTTGGATGAGCGCAAAAAAGATGATTAATCTCGTCTGGAGGATGTTACACACAACACAGCACTTCTGCTACACTCCTAGCGTTGCGAAAGGTAATGTACGATGATATTATTTGGTGTTTCTCAGGTTTCACCTTTTACATTAACCTAACATAATGAACATAACTCTCCAAAACTTTATTATATGGTTCAGTGTGCAAAGTAAAGTTTCATCAACATCTACAGACACGAGTAATAAATTTATCACGCAGCTTTCAGTGAAACCATATTAATTATCACGGCACGCATCCTGCTTTTCAGGACTCAACTGGGTGGATCCATGTCTATAACATTCGGTAATTTAATGTGGTGACTGGAGAACACACACACTAAAATTCTGTGGAGGAATCCGAAAATATGTGTTGTGATATTGTTATGTGCGCAAATAGGCCCTTTCAGACGGGGTGCGTAAATGCCTTTTGTGGTGGTTTCAAAGTGAAATGTTTTGAAATGCCAAGAGAATGGAGCCTTCATGGCATCGTATCGGTATCGGCGCCACTGACAATGAGCCTTTGCAAATTTGCACAACATAAAGGGTAAACACTGGGTGGAATATTAAAAAGACTTCGACATAAGGCTGAGTGTCGGATGGGAAATGCACGAAGCTCCTCCCACTCGAGAGCTCCGCCCACAAGTAGGAATTTTGCGGCTTCCCTCTTTTAATTTATAGTCCAAACTATTTGCTTATGTCTCAATATTCGTTCCGTAGAAATATCATGTCTAAAAGTCGAGTTTCCCTTCAGTGCGCTATTCCGCTTCAATTTAGCGATTTTAATATAACTGCGAGCCATCAGTAAAAAGAGTAGATTGAAGAACTCGTGACAAGAATATTGCGCTCCATTTTATTTGTGATATTCTACATTTCCAATTAAATTGCCTTGGAAGATAATATTGAAGCGGGTATTCAAAATGTATTCAATATTATTAAGCTTGTTCTGTATTTTATATTGACATCTTTGCTCGATTCTCTTCCATCCTCATGTTCATATTTATTATTGCCTCTTTGGTCTACAAAAAGTCCAAATAAAACTCTCATTTCGCAGGGAAATACTGTTTGTTTTTGTGTGAAATTGAACATGTTAGTTTGATCGACACGAGAAGATTTCCATGGGGATAAACACATCAGAGCCACTGAAAGGGGAAAAGCCCCATGATTTATTTGCATAATTGCGGAAGGTTTCTGTCACCAAAATTCTAATTTGAATACATTCCCAGGAAGGTATATACTCCCTCTCTTATCTCATTACTCACATGTATAGTGGTCGCTTTGCTATAATAGCTTCACTCTCTCATGAACCCAAAGTCCACAAACTCATAATTATACGGCGATTCGCGAGTCAATTTGCACAGACACACTTCGTGGAGCTTCACTCTGTGCTTTATATCCAAGCGTGAAGATGGAATTGTGACTCGAATTTAGTCCTTCTCCGAATTATATACGTGACTACGTCATACTAAACTATAAAAAGCCGCCGGCAGTTGAGCTTTCCTTATCAAATTTTCCTCTTTAGTTGCTGTAGGGAATTTATTCACACATTCAAATTTTATTTTCAAATATTTCAGCCAAACGTAGCCCCATAAATTGAATTGTTCTTTCTGCCTCGGGTTTTGCTCTCGCCCTATTGTATGTGTGTGTGTGTGTGTGTGTGTGTGTGTGTGTGTGAATAAAAGATTCGATTTTCTTGAACGCTTTCCCATTAAAGACGGTTAACATGGGCCTGTGCGGAAAGGTGAGAATGTATTAAGCCACCGCTTTGTGTGTATACAAATTGGTATACTACTTGGAACACGTTTTATTGCTCCTCGAGAAAGAATGCACGGAAATTGATGGGTTGGGTAATTTTTTTACTGGGGGCTTACTCATTGTATGGCAATGGATGAGAGCGGCGAAAAAGCTCCATTTGTACAATACGGGGTAGTCAAATTACCGGGACGTGGTGTATATGTTTTATTGTACGAAAGGAACTCGATGAAGGGAGTATGTGAGAGGTGATTATGAAGTCTATTCCATTTCATGGACAATAAAATTTGAATTTCTGCATGCAAAATTAAACGATGGCGTGAACATGATACGAGTTTTAATTCTCCCTTCACATTTTTACATCACCCGACTTTATTTGCACAGAGGTGAAGTGTGCTGAATAAAGCCGATTTAAATATGGATAAAAATTTAAACTGTGCTGCTGTGGTGAGAATTGGTCGCACCCTTTACAATAATTTGCCCAATTAAAATACTGTGAGGAACAGTATTTCTCTTTTCACGCAGCGCAAAAGTGGCCATAATGTGGCTGCTTAGGCAAATGTATCGACATGTATGGAAATGTAACCCTTTTTCGCATTGCGAGGCACACAATAAATCATGCCAAATAAGAGAGTTGTGTCAAAATATTATATTAAAAATAAAATTTATAGGTCCATTATCGAAAGGTGTCGAATGTTTTTCCCCACGTCCTTTCTCGCATTCTCACATAGTGTGCGCCTTCGCCATGCGAGTCCGAAAAGTATAGTAACCGGAAGGGGAAATGTGGAGGAAAAATATTGCAGAGGAAACGTACGGTCCATGATAAATAAATTATCTCCCGTGTCTAAGACCCATACAATCATTTGCTACACGCTATATATATGGCGCACTATATATATATTGAAAATAATGAAGGTGGAATTTTAGATCCCCAGCGAGAGTTTCTCATAAAACACACCCTAAGCTTTTCATTATTCACACAAATGTTGAACAATTAATTTTAATTGTCTATACATGTGCCTATCAATTTGCAATTGAGAGACAGAGTCAAATATCCTCTTCTCTCGCTCACTCAACAAGGTGATGAAATGTGGAAATGCTTTCGTGTAATGGAACGCCACTGAGGGATGAATTCCTAATGCTCATCATTTGGTGCTTCAGTGAAACTTTCCTCCCATAATTGAAAGTTGATTCATTGCCAATTCACCTCACTTTGATGCTTCGGCGCAAATCGCGAAATTATAACCACCAGAACACCATCTAAACATGCTTCACGAAATATGTCCATTTGAAATCGCTCTCAACCGCAAATAGATGTATTTTCCCAAGTAAATTGATAGAAAAAGGTCAGGCAGAAGCAATTAGATTTAATTAAATCTAAATTGCTGAAAAGGGGAAGTGCACGGACCCAAAACCATAACCATTTGTTCCTTCACGAGCGACGCAACTGGGTGAAAATTAATTCACATGGGGAAATTTATATAGCCTCTATGTAAGTTGTATGTTTACACACGGAGCTTGAGGAGCAGGAGCGAGCAGAAATTAAACTAACCGTGGAAAAAACCGCAAATTCGTATCGATTTGCCTGGGTAAGAGAAAGTTTATATCTTGGTATGCGACACACAAGTGCGGCGCGGCTTCCTTTTCGACGCGGTGCCGCAATTGTGGGCGCACAGGAGAAGGGTTCACGGGTGGGATTCATTTATAAATCTCCAGCAACTTCCGCTATTCGCACATTTTGATCACACGCCACGGAACGCGGAGAGACAAGATGATATTTATTCAAGTGCGAATACGGAGCGCAGGAGATCCACATAGCTCCACAGCGGAGAGCAGCAGCTGTTATCACATTAGTCAAAGGGGTGGCGGGTGTGAAAAGCGCATTGGGCACGGATCTCTGCCGTCTCGCGAGGCACCTCGAGACTGTGCGCCAGGCGCTGCGAGGCTCACATTCGGGGCGCGTGCAGCGCGCGGGGTTCTGACATCGCTGGCGGCTGCTGATAACGGATGATTATGAAATACACTGGTTTCATGCCATAGGTGCTCCGAATGGTTAGCAAAATATTCCATTTCACTGTGTTGGCGAAATATTACACAGCCAGAGGGATTGGCATTCCCTGAATATCCGCCCAGGCCACATTCTTTGGCCTCCAAAGAGATGCTTTTTGCAAATACCAAAATTCCGCACTTCATGAAATTGCTGATAATGCTTTATGTATTTAATTTTGAGCGTGTCACCGCGTCACATCAAAAATCCTCATGGTCTGAGGACTTGTTTTGCAATCTCTAGGGCGCTTTAATATGGGGTTGTTTATTTCCAGAACTCAACCGAAACTGCTGTGAAATTTTTCGAAATTCTTTCTGTTGATGCAAACGATTAAATCTATCGATCATCGTGCGCAGTGAAATGATTGAGTTGATTCATCAGAGGTCTGATGATGATGATAATGTGTTGCTACTCAGTATTCTTCTGCACAAATTGCAACATCACGAGAAAAACTTTGTAGCAACCGACACTGAAGCAAGGCTAATAAACTCAGTGATTTATGCAAAAGGTCTCGAAGGTTCATTTCCACTCATTCTGCCATTCCCTAAAAATTATGACATTATTCAAAACTTTAAAATGAAAAGTTATAAATTACTTTTATCACTGGCAGCGTCGCCAGATACAGGACAAATGTAACATAGTTTCTCTTGCCCTCTGGTGTGACTACACACTTAATTTTCATTCTGTCACCATTCGACGCGTGGGTAAATGGACACAATGACTATAACCATAAACGATATAGCCACGAATGCCAACTTCAGGTCATCAATCTCATCAGGACGCCAAAACATCCCAAGTCTGCGAGTGGATGCGCATCTCGCACACCATCTCCACCCCACATTCGTCTCTTTTTATATTTGTGCAGAGGACAGGAAGAGGCTGTAGGCAAAATTTATTGCCAACCTTTGTATTTTGTATGAGGCCACA